TCTGCTACCAAGAAAGTACTAGAAGCCAGGAGAGAGGCCTGGGGCTGATCCTTCCCCGGCACCTTCCGAGGGAGCATAGCCCTGCTGAACGTTTCCATTGTCTAGGTCACTCCGTTTGTGGTGCTTCGTTATGGCAGCCCTAGCAAACCAACACACATTACGTATACTCTTTTGAATGTATAGTTCACAGTAAACAAAAATTTTTAAGTACCAAAAAGAATATAGGGTGTCCCAAAAAATGTATACACAACTTTAAATAATTATAAAGCCAGTGTTTATTAAAATACATTTCATTTAAAAAATATAATAGAATCTATAGGCACCCTGTATACATTTTTGGGGGACACCCTGTATATAAGAACAATGAAATACTCATGTACACTCCACCAAAATGTGCAGTCTTTTTCTCCATGAATTTAAAAACAAAAGTTTTTCTTTATTGGTTTTAGAGGGAGAGGGAGAGAGAGAAACATCGATGAGAGCCCTGGCCAGTTTGGCTCAGCGGTTAGAGCGTTGGCCCGCGTACCAGCGAGTCCCAGGTTCAGTTTCCACTAAGGGCACATACCTTGGTTGTGGTTTTCACGACAACTCGGGGTCGTGTGGGTGGCAACCAGTCGATGTGTGTCTCTCTCTTCCCCCCTCTCTTCTTCCTGGTCTATCTAAAGATAAATGGATAAAAAGAAAGAAAGGAAGGAAGGGAGGAAGGGAGGAAGGGAGGAAAGAAAGATCAATGAGAGCGAACATCGATTGGCCGCCTCCTGCATGCCCCCCACTGGGGATCAGGCCCACAACCTGGGCATGTGCCCTGACGGGAATCCAACTGGTAACCTCGGTGCATGGGTTGATGTTCAACCACTGAGCCACACTGGCGGGGCAACTACGCTCTCTTCTTAATTGAACTACACCACTCATCCTTACACCAGATTCCTGAGAGAAGTCATATGCATGGGGCGTGTATATTGCCTATTACTAATGAGATTTTGCTCCAAACCCCTTAAAGTTTCCTGGTCCACAAGTCTGTACCATGTGGAAGTTTCTTTTTGCCTGGGCCTCAGGCAAGCTTGAGAAGACTCCCTGCTCCCTTTTCCTTAAGTCTCTCTTCCCCTTGGGAAGGTCAGGAAGGGTCATTTAAAAAATTACATTAAAGCCCTGGCTGGTTTGGCTCAGTGGATAGTGTGTCGGCCCGCAGACCAAGGATCTAGGTTTGATTCTGGCCAAGGGCATATACCTCAGTTTCCATTTGTCCCCAGCCCTGGTTGGGGTCATGCAGGAGGCAACCAATCAATGTGTCTCTCTCATCAACGTTTGTCTCTCTCTCTCTCTCTCTCTCCCTTCCTCCCTCCCTCCCACTCTATCTGAAGATAAATGGAAACATATTCTCAGGTGAGGATTAAAAAATTTTTACATTGAAGAAAACAATGCCAAAGAACTTTCTCTTTAAGGTTTAAATCTTTGCATATCTCCTTGATTATTCTGTAAAAATACATTCCTAGGCCCTGGCCGGTTTGGCTTAGCAGTTAGAGCGTTGGCCTGTGGTTCAGAGAGACCCGGGTTCGGTTCCCGCTAAGGGCACGTACCTCGGTTGCAGTTTGTCCCCGGCCCTGGTTGGTCGTGCGGGTGGCAACCACTCGATGTGTCCCTTTCACATCGATGTTCCTCTCACTGTCTCTCTTCCTCTCTCCCCCTCCCCCTCTCTCTGAACAACAACAACAAAAATACATTCCTAGATGTAAAATTTCTGGGTCAAAGAGGATGCTGATATGTAAGGTTTTGGAATATAGACTGCTCAATTTTCCAAAGATTGCATTGATTTTAAACCTACCAGCAGTGCATGAAACTGCTTGCTTCCCAAAGCGCTCATCAGTATTCCCCACTTTTTAAAAAAAAGTGGCCATTGCTTGTCAGGTTCAGAGTGGTTTGCATTCAGAAAACACGGTCCAGCAATTCAAACAGCAGAATAACTCAAGTTGTTACATTTCTCAAACACCACAAAAGGTACAGATACCCAGACCACAGCTATACTTTTAAAATTCCTCTTTTCTTCCCCATCCCACATTCTTTAAACACTACAGGTGTCCCTGTGCCCTCTCTTCAGCACCCTTTTCCCAACACCTCCTTGTTCCTGGTTTTTCTCCCCTTCGACTTCTTCTGATCTAGCTCTAGTGTGTGTGTGGGTGTCCCCTCTCAATCCTGCCTGTCTCAGATTCTCTACCACAAAAGTCCCAAGGAATTGCACTGACATGGAAGGACCCTTCTCAGATGGTGGGGAGGGAACAAAACCACATAGACAAAATCCTTCAGTGGATGGGGAGAGAAACGGTTTAATCATATTATCTAGTCCCATTATGGTGGTCAGCTGTGGGCCTCGTGCAGACTTGTGGGATGTGTTGGCCTAGTATCCCTCTAACTGGGTTTAGCACATAGTAGGGATTTATTGCTTCAATGAAGGTGGGAGCACTGACAAACAATTCTGTCTTGGGGTTAGCAAGAGATGTTTACAGAGATGTTTGACCTAGGCCTGGAAGCAAGAAGTTTTATCTTGGGCAGCATGAAGGACATGTCTTCCTCTGAAGAGGAAGGACATAAGAGTTGGGGAAGAGCCCGGCCAGTGTCTGGTGTAGCTTAGTGGTTGAGCATCGACCCATGCACCAAGAGGTTGCCGGTTCGATTCCTGGTCAGGGCACATGCCCAGGTTGTGGGCCTGATCCCCAGTGAGGGGCACGCCAGAGGCGGCCAATTGATGTTCTCTCTCATTGATGTTTCTATCTCTCCCTTCCTCCCCCTTTCTCTCTCTCTAAAACTATATAAAGAATTAAAAAAAAAAACAAAAAACAGTAGGGAAAGACAAAGATGAGGGAAGGTGGGAGTTGGAAGAAATCCCACTCGATGGCTTTATTTTTCTTTTTAAATATACCTTGGCCATCTTTTTTTTTTTTTTTAATATTTTTTCTTACTTGATTTTAGAAAGAGGAAAGGAGAGAGAGAGAAACATCCATGAGAGAGAACATCAATTGGCTGCCTCCTGCATGCCCCCCACTGGGGATTGGGCCCACAATCTGAGCATGTGCCCTGACTGGGAATTGAATTGGCCATGTCTTGGTGCATGGGTTGACGCTCAATCACTGAGCCACACCAGCTGGGCATGGCTTTATTTAGGAAAAGGAAGAGTTAGAGTATGGGAAGGGGAAGAGGCAAGGTTTGGAAAAGCCACCATGGAGAAGGGAAGGGGTCTGAGAAGAAATAGAAAAATTGCTGGCAGTGGCAAGGGTTCAGCTGAGGGTGGAGGCAATAATTTGTGGGTTTGGTCTTCGCAGAGCCTCACATGGTTGGGTTACAGGGATTGGGTCCCATCGTTTATTCAACAAGGAGAAAATGAATAGGGCAAAGGGAGTAGATTGCTCTGTAACATTGAAAAGTTAATATGGAAGGCATTAGACTGAGAGCAAGGCAGAAACGCAGGTTCTGTTTGGAGAGGGGGGGAGTTGGAATTTAAACTTTCAGGTGGGGAGAGCGACCCTTTCCCTGGCCAGTGGAGGAAGATGGCGGTGGAGTCGCGTGTCACCCAGGAGGAAATTAAGAAGGAGCCCGAGAAACCAATCGACCGGGAAAAGACGTGCCCGCTGCTGCTGCGCGTCTTCACCACCAACAACGGGCGCCACCACCAGATGGATGAGTTCTCCCACGGGAACGTGCCGTCCAGCGAGCTGCAGATCTACACCTGGATGGATGCAAACTTGAAAGAACTGACTAGTTAAGTAAAAGAAGTCTACCCAGAAGCTAGAAAGAAGGGCACACACTTCAATTTTGCAATTGTTTTTACGGACCTGGCTATCGGGTCAAGGAGATTGGCAGCACCATGTCCAGGAGAAAGGGGACTGATGATTCCATGACCCTACAGTAGCATAAGTTTCAGATAGGAGATTATCTGGACATAGCAATTACCCCTCTGAATTGGGCACCACCTCCTTCCGGGCGCATGAGGCCATATTAAATTTTATTGACTATTTCTTCGTTTATTTTTCATTCAGTTATGTAAAAGATTTATGCTTTTTCCTCCTCTCATTATTGCCATTAAGCCTTTAAACTCTAAACAAATTGTAATGCATTTATTTAGGAGTTAGGTTTGGCTGTGCTATGGTATAAAGATTAATAGAAAGTCCATGTTTCAAGTCCTATAAAATATGAAGTGCTCTTAGCATTCTATGTAAAACTCGTTAAATATACGTGTGCAATAAAAAAATAAAAATTTAAAAATAAAATAAAATTTCAGGTGGGTAAGTTGTGTGACCCTGAGGGTGATGGCTGAGGTGAGGGGGAAGGTCATGGAGATGAGCATGCCAAGGAACTGGAAGCCGGGTTGGCCCCGAGGATGTTAAGTCTCCCAGAATCCAGGGCAGAACAGTGAGCCACGTGACAACTCCCCATTGATTGGCTGACAGTGAAGCATAGTTGAGAAGACAGTGGCCCAGCAAGAACCTCATCAGAGTAGGTCTGTACACACAGTGGCATACAGTAGTCAGTGTTCAGGAGGGCCTTGAGGAGCAAGGGGAACGCGGACCGTTCTTCCTGCCTGGACAGGCAGAGCCGACGTGGGAAGGGGAGAGTCTGGGTGTGTGCAGAGGCCAGCCCCATCTCTGCACCAACATCAGAGGCAAGACTGGATTCCCAGGAGCAGGGCGCAACTCAGGCCACTAACTTGTTCTGTGCCCGCCTCCTAAAACGTATCAAGTGGAGCAGGTTGCAGTTTGTGGTGCTCCTCTGAATTCTGGGACTCCAGGAGGGCCAAAGGGAGGGTAAAAATGGCGGAGGGGGTTTGCAGGGCCAGAGCTTGGGACCAGCCCGGGCAAGGCCTGCTGGTGGCGTCATACGTCTCCCTGGCGACAGGCCGCGTGGCCCGGAAGTGGGCGGATCTTAAGGCGGGGCGGGGCATCTCTGTGACGCCAGGGTCTGGGCCTAAATGGCGAAACCCGAGAGGCTCACCGGGGGGTTTGAACTGGCCAATGGGCGAGCTCCCGGCCGGGTGTCGGAAAAGGAGGCGGAAGCGGGGAGGAGCCGCCGTCGGAGTTGGACTACATCCGCCGCGGCGTCTCCATGGCACGACCCTGGCCTCCGACCTCAACGACTACATAAGGAGGCGTTTCTGGGCCCAGCCGTGTCGCTCCTGGTGAGAGGCCGCCGGCAGGCGGGACCTAGGGCGCTCCGGGGCGCGCCGCGAGCGCCGCCGGGGCCGGTCCGCATGGGCGGGATGGTCTCCGCCGGGGTCGCCGTTTCCCGCCGCCCCCCCACCCTCGGGTCGCCCCCAGCTGCAGCCCTCCGGCGCGCTAGTCCCGCTCCCGTCAGAATCTGGCCCCCGCCCCGCCCCCTGGCGCGGGCCCTCTCCTCCCGCTAACTGGCCGCCGACCGGCGGGGCTCGGTTCGCTCCTCTGCTGCCCTCTGGCAGGGCTTCGCCCTCCTTTCTATGGGCAGAAACTGGTCCCCTCTTGCCCACCGGTGGGTGGTCGTCCCTTCTCTCCGCTGGCGGAGACTGGCCCCCGCCCTCTTGCCTGCCCGTGGGCGTCGCCTCGTCCGCCCTTCCCTCCCCGGGGGCCTCGGCGCGGCAGTTATTTGCCCGATCTTCGTACGCAGCGCTGCCCCCCGGGGACCGTCTCCGTAACCTCAACCCCGCTGGAGCGGGTTCACCCGCTCGGGTCTCGCTCCGCTTCCCTGAACAGCCAGGCGTCTAATCCGCTCTCACTCGTGTACTAGATCCCAGCGGCCGCTGATGCGACCGAGAGCACTTTCCCTCCTCCATTGAGGGTACCCACTCGCGGCTGAGCGTCCCGCCCCCCGTCGCTTCCGCCTTTTTCCTCCTTCAAATACTATTGGTCCTCTCCGGCATCTATTCTGCCGGGAACGCCCCTTCTCCTAGGAGACTGTTGCCCTGGCCCCGCAACGAATATCCCCCCACACCCACAGGTCCGTGCGCCGGTAGCGGCCCTTTCGGGCCCACTTGGGGCCTAGCGGTTCTCTCCCACCCTCCACGAACGCCAGCCAGCACCTCAGGTTTTCCTCCTGATGGCCCCCCACCCTCTCCCGGGTGGGGCCAGGGCTCGGTGGTCCTTTACCTCAAGGTTCCGCCTCCCGTTCCTCCCTGGGTAGGGGAGCTCCGCCCCACACTCTCTTATCAGTGCCCACCCTCCGCCCTGCAGGTCGCTCAGCCTCTCCTCTCTCCCCCCACTTTGGCAGGACAGTTGCTGTGCGACTTGGACAGTAGAGAGGAGCGCCTCCCAAGTTATCATCCAACTGCCACCCCCAAAGCTTCCACCCTCCTCCCCTCAGAGAGGACGTTTGATGCCCGGCCCCTGAGATTCTCATTGACAAGCCCCTCTGAGTCCCCCTGAGCAGAGCCTGCTGACCCAATTGCCCACCTTTGCGGCTTTGATGCCTAGTCATGTCTGCCTCATCCTCAGGCGGCTCCCCCAGGTACTGCCAATGTGGGGGGCGCCTCTGCCGAGGGCAGGGAAAGGTGGTCAGGGGCCCCCACACCAGGCTTGCTGGAGGCTTCTCTTTTCAGCTTCTCTGTTCAGTGTGTTGAAAGTTGGACCAAAATATTTGGAAATCACTTTTTAAGGGAAGGAGGGGGGAGGAAGCATGCAAACAATTTCAGCTCTGCCCTGCTCCTCCCCTCCCTCTCTTCCCAGTTGTCCTAGTTCCTGATAGCAAAATAGGGTCACTATTGTCTCAGTGGAGTACAAGGCTCAGATCTTTTTGAAAGGAGACCAGGTGTAAATAAATGACAGTGATGTAGGAGGTGGATGTGGCAGTTAGCAAGGTGTTGATGGAACCCAAGTGGTTTGATGGAAGGCCGCTGACGGGGAGAGATACCCAAATCTACTGGCTTCAAGTGAATAGAAACGTTCTAAGTGAGGAGGGGGAAATGTCTACTCAGATTTGGTATTCCTTGGCTAAATGATTAGTAGAGCTCAGCAAAATGCATGCTAAAAGGCTCAAGAATTTTTATGTTGCTTTTGTTGTTGTTGTTAATCCTCACCTGAGGATATTTTTTGCACTCCGACTGGGGCCAGGGATCGAACTTGCAACCCAGGTATGTGCTCTTGACTGGGAGTTAGTTGACGTTTGACCCTTTGGTGCATGGGCCAGTGCTCTAACCACAGAGCCACACCAACCAAGGCTATATTGCATTATTTTCCCCAGGTATTTGTGGGGAGGGCAAAGCCATATTTTGGCTGTCAGTGGGATGGATCAAATGAACTTTTCAAGTGCCTTATCATCCTGGAATTTTTGGATGTATTACTGCCAAATTTTAGAGATTAAATGTTTGCTACATTTGAAAGTTTGATAATAGGATGTTTATGTATATACACATGGTATTAAAAAAACAAAAACAAAAATAATCCTGCTTAGGAGCTTAAAAAGTAATAGGTGGGATATTTTGGGAAATAATTTTTCATCCTGGTAGTTGATTTTATAAATTTGAGTCACAGGAATTTTGTTCTGAGCTTTTTGCTCTGTCGTTTTACATCAGCCATTCAGTGAGTATTTCTCCAGAGCTACCTCTGCTCCAGGCACTGTCCTGGGCCCTTTCACCTTGGCCAAACTAGTACCTTGGCTGTTGCTCACATGCTGCCAGTGTTTTGTTACCTGACAGGATGACATCTGGGTTTTTCAGCAAAAGGTCACAATACTTGTGATGCGATGGCAGGTTAAAAGGCCAGCTTTCTGAATGCCCATCGCCCCTGTTTCCATCCCACTGCTGGGCACACCATGCATGTTTGGTGCTCATGTAAAGTGAGCCAAGTGATTCCGGACTGGTCATTCTAGCTGTCAACTTGTTACCCACCATGTGTAGTATATCATCTTGGGAGATCTGAGCAGTAGAAGAACCCTCATTTTCTGCTTATAATGTGATTCTTGTGCCTGGGTGCAGGTTTCCATCGTGTGGGAAGAACGGAGTAACAAGTCTCACGCAGAAAAAGGTCTTGAGGACAGCTTGTGGTGCACCCAGTGTGACTGTGACGGTAGGTGAGCTGTACACGGAACACCCCTTTGGTCTGCAGCACTGTGGAAAACGCTTCTGCACACCTTTTCCAGGAGCTTACCCTGCTGGCACGACTGTAGCCTGGCACTTTGCTAGGTGCCTTCATACATATTTTGCTGATTGATTGGTTGTTTTTGGGTTTTTTTGCTTGTAGTAAGGGTGCTGAGTGTGAGGAGGTTGTCTTAATCCTTCCAGACAAATTCCAAAAGTTTTTAGAACACATTTAAATATAATAATAATAATAACAATAAAGAAGAAGAAGAAGAAAATAAAATTGGGGAGGGGATAGGAACTGAGGGTGAGTGAGGATATGTAGTTGGGATTTAGCCTTGCTTATATATATTTTTGGAATCTATACAACCTTCTCATCTTGGCATTTCCTCCAGTTCTCTGTTTTCATCATCTCTTACCTGCCTGCTGCCTCATTTATTTTGCACCCTCATCATTTTGTGTGTTTGCTGTGCTAACGCGCATGTCCAGTACAGATCGTGGTGTAGGAGGATTCATCTGCTTCCCAGCTGCGCTACACTAAGTCTAAGGAAGAGCTCTGCATTCTAGCAGGCTGGGATGGAGATCCAGCTCTGAGAACCCTAGGGCCTGGGTTTGGGCTCTTGTAGAACCTGTGGGTCTTGTAGACCCTGCTCTCGGTTGGAATTGGATCTCTGGTGGTCTTCAGCTGGGATCTCTGCAGGAGCCTGCTGAGTGGCACTGCTGCCTTGGTTCCTGCCTGCATGCAGTAGTTCGTAGCTGTCCTGCTCGCTTGGTGGCTGGGCTTTCAGCGGCCCCCAGAGGCTGTGAGTTCTGTTTTTTATGCCCAGTTTACTCATCCACAGATCAACCTTTTTTGTGTTGTCTTCCTCGGCCTGCCAGAAGCGAACTATGAAGGACCGCTCTTCAACTCCCCCTTTACATGTTCATGTGGATGAGAACACCCCTGTCCACGTCCACATAAAAAAACTCCCGAAACCAGCAGCGACCAGCAGCCAGGTAGGAGCATGCCAGTGGGGCGAGGTGAAGGCTGTGGAGCAGGCTGACACCTCTCAGCTCAGCCTCCTTGCGCTCCTAACTCCAAAGGTTTGACAGACGAACGCACTTGGCTTTCAGAGATCAGTTGCCTGGTTAGAAGGTAGGCAGGACTGTCATCTAGAAATGGCAACGATAGCCTTAGTCAGAAGAGGCTCCCTTGCAAAGTTGGAGATGGATGTCATCAGAGTGATGCCACAGCCAGCTGTGTGGGGAAGTGACTCTGGGTTTGTCCCTTTCCACAGAAATCTCATAAGCGCGGAATGAAGGGGGACACCGTGAATGTGCGGCGGAGTGTCCGGGTGAAAACCAAGGTACCTTGGATGCCCCCTGGAAAATCATCCACACGGCATGTGGGATGCAAGTGGGAGGTAGGCTCACTCTTGTTCAGGCTTTTCTCGGACTGGTCAGGTTCTATCTAGTGCCTCAAACTCTGTATAATTCAGAGTTGGCTGTAGCTATTAGAGATATCCCAGTAGGTCCCATTTGAGAGCCTTGCTGAACCCTGAAAGTATGTGAGTCTTCTTTAGTCTTCACAACACGGAGATGTGGTAGGTTCTGCTCTCCTGATGTACAGATGAGGAAATCCAGGCCTGGACCCCTGAGGGCTCACAGAGCTGGAGTTAGTACTCAAGGGAGGTCTCATTCTAGGGGGCTGTACTCTTACCTCTGTGATTTGTAGGTGAGGAGCCACATGTCTTTTCTCATGTACTGTGATAGTATCTGAAGTGTAACTAAATATACATGGCTTCTTTTGAGGTAGTCACCATCAGACCATGCACATATTCCACAATGTCATCAAAGCCACTTTTGGAATAATCTCCTGGTACATATTGCCTTCAGATTTAGTTGTCAAGATACCTAGGGAATTGTTATCTTTTTTTAGCCATACCTCAACATGTTTTGCCTATCCATCCACCCTGCAGTAGTTCATGCCACATATGTTTATTGAGACTTATGCCAGACTCTGCCCTGGGGTTACACCTGCAGTGTGGCAGATGTGCCAGTCTAGTCAATAGCAGTGAAAAAACTCAGATGATAAGATAAGGCCTTTTGGTCATGTTTTAGACAAAGATCTCATTATTAGGACAAATAAAGAACTTGAGACTACTTTAAGATGATGAAAACTTGATCTATTTTGAAAATTTCATTTTTTTTTCTGAAAGCTTATTACTTCTAAAATTAGAAATAAATAAAATGATTCTAAAGTTTATAATCATACTCATGGTTTTGCTCCCTGATTTACCAATTTGTCCCTAAGAGATTAAGAGAGTGTGGGGTATTCTAGGGAATAAGTGGAAAGTATTCTGACCAGTGTATATATATAAAGTACAAGGATTGGAATTCAAATGATGTCTTACATTTCTTTACTGTGGAGACCTCGGTGAAATGTAAATTAAAAAAACTTAAGTCCTCACCCGAGGATATTTTTTCCATTGATTTTTCAGAAAGTGTGGAAGGGAGGGATAGAGAGAGATAGAGCTACTTGGAGAGATCAGTGTGTCTCTCACATCGATTGGTTGCCTCCTGCACACACCCCGACCAGGGTGGGGAATCAAACCTGGGACCCTTTGGTCCTTAGGCTGACGCTCTAACCACTGAGCCATGCCAGCCAGAGCAGTGAAATGTAAATTTAAAACAAGATTTTATTTTATTTTAATATTTTTTATTTTTTTTATCCTCACCCAAGGACATTTTTTTTTTTCCATTTTTTGTTCACATAGAGGAGGAGGGAGAGAGAAACATCGATGTGAAAGGGACACATCGAGTGGTTGCCACCCACATGACCCAACCAGGGCCGGGGACAAACTGCAACCAAGGTACATGCCCTTAGTGGGAACTGAACCCGGGTCTCTTTGGACCGAAGGCCGACGCTCTAACCGCTGAGCCAGACCAGCCAGGGCTAAAACAACATTTTAAAAACAAAAGCTGTCATATTTATTGAATGGGAAAAAGTTGAAAAGATTACAGATATGTTGTATTGGCAAGCATATGCAGTATCGGTGAATCTTTTCAGACAGTTTTGAGAGGATCAAGAAACTGATTCAGTTGTTCTGGAGATAGCTTGGCAGTATCTATCTAAACATTGATTCTAGTTTTACATTTAGGAATGTTGTCCTTAAAAAGTCACAGAAGAGTACAGGGATCTGTGTAAGGATGTTTGCTACAGCATTGTTTGTAATAGAGAAAAACTGGAAACAACCTAAATGTCAGTCAGGAGGGTATTGTTTAAACTGATACGTCCATACAGTGGAATACCAAGCAACCATTACAGAGGTTGAGGTAGTATTTATACAGGATAATAAATCACAGAGCCACACAGCATGTAGAGCATGGCTCAATTTGTCCAGAAAAGGGCGTTTGTGCATCTCTGTGTATGGATATATTTGTGTGTACATAATATTTTCTGGGAAGCTATACAAGAAGTGTTAAGCAGTGATTACCCTTGGAGTATGGGAGGCTTTAATGGTTTATTTTTTTAATGATGTGCTTGCATTTCTCTATAACACACATACTAGATTTTATAATTTAAAATGCTTTTCAAACAAGTGAAGAGACTTAGTATGCAACAAAGTTATGCAGCTATGGAAATTGACTTCCTGTTGACATGGGTTGCTAGGGACTATGATCTCCCCTGGAAAGCTCAATGTCCCTTCCAGTTCTGGGCCACAGGATACAGAAATGGAGGGGCCCAGGAAGATGACTTGTTCTCTCTCAAACAGTAGCTGTCTTTCATGCTACTTGGGCTAGCCCTTCCCACCTTCCAGGGGCCCTCCATGTTCCTAGGAGGCCCTAGCCTGGCCTTTTCCATTATGGACCAGAAAGACAAGGCCCTAGGAGGAAGATTTGTGGTGGGGCAGGACAGGGGCCCCAGAAGCTGCTGTGTGCGTGTGGAGATTCTAGTTTGATTTTTGAAGCCCCTTCTGATACATAAGATTAGCTTTGGGAGAAAGATGATCTGGGTTTTTTCTCTATTGTTAAGTGATCTATTTCTATTATGGAAAGTTAAAAATACAGAAAGATAGAAAATTACCTGTAATTCTTCTACTGTGGCTCCTATTAAGTTTTAAAAACTTTTTGTTGAAAAGTGCAGGAAGGACAGATCAGAAGTGTGTTGCTTGATGTATTTTTATAAAATATCTGTGTAACCATCACTCAGCTCAAGAAACATCATCAGTTTCTCCAGAATCTCCCCTCTGGTCCTTTTGCTATCACTTCATCCCCAAGGGTAATCACTGTCCCAAAACTAGTATTTTAGTACTTTTTCACTATACCTATTCAGAGTTTTTTGTGTTTTTTTTTAATTGATTTTAGAGAGGAAGGAAGGGGGAAAGAGAGAGAATCATCAATGTGAGAGAGAAATACCGATCTGTTGCCTCCCATACACGCCCCAACCAGGGATCGAACCCGCAACCCAGGTATGGGCCCTGACTGGGAATTGAACCCTCAACCCCTTGGTACTCAGGACGATGCTCCAACCAACTGACCTACCCGGGCAGGGCTGCCTAGTTTTTTTCTTTGATTTTGTTTAGTTTTATTTATTCTTTTACTCTTGATTATAATGATACTATCTGTATATTTTCCTATTAACCTTTTTTTTTTATTTTTTTGATCCTCACCTGAGGACATTTTTGCATTTATCATCAGATACAGCAGGAGGGAGAAGGAGGAAGAGAGAGAGAGGAATATCAATGAGAGAGAGAAACATGGATGTGAGAGAGACACATTGAGTGGTTGCCACCCACACGACCCCAACTGTGGCCTGGGACAAACTGCAACTGAGGTACGTGCCCCTAGCAGGAACTGAACCCTGGACTCTGGTCCATGGGCCGATGCTCTAACCACTGAGCCAAACCAGCCAGGGCAACATCCTTTTTTTTTTTTTATCCTCACCCGAGGACATTTTTCCATTTTTTGTACAGATAGAGAGGGGAGGGAGAGAGAGAGAGAGAAACATCGACGTGAAGGGACACATCGAGTGGCTGCCACCCGCACGACCAACCAGGGCTGGGGACAAACTGCAACCGAAGTACATGTCCTTAGTGGGAACCGAACCCGGGTCTCTCTGGACCGCAGGCCGACGCTCTAACCGCTAAGCCAAACCGGCCAGGGCAACATCCATTTTTTTAAAACATACTTTTACTATTTTTTTTTTTAATGTTTCTATTGATTTTAGAGAGAGAGGAAGAGAAAGGGAGAGAAACATTGATTGGTTGTCTCCTGCAACCAGGGACTGAACTGCAACTTGGGTATGTGCCCTGACCAAGAGTCAAACCAGCAACCTTTTGGTACATGGGACACTGCTCAACCAACTGAGCCACAGTGGCCAGGGCGCACGTTATTTTTTGAAGGCATTCCATTATGTGTAGATTTGTACTGTTATGTATTTAATTAATACTCTCTTGCCATACAGTTATCTATATCCTTGTCTTTATTTTTATTTATTTATTTATTTTATCCTCACCCGAGGACATTTTTGCATTTTTTGTTCAGACAGAGCGGGAGGGAGAGAGAGGAAGAGAGAGAGAGAGAAATATCGACATGAAGGGACACATCGAGTGGTTGCCACCCACACGACCAACCAGGGCCGGGGACAAACTGCAACCGAGGTACGTGCCCTTAGCGGGAACTGAACCCGGGTCTCTCTGTACCACAGGCCGACACTCTAACCGCTGAGCCAAACCGGCCAGGGCTCCTTGTCTTTAATTTAAATACTAATTCATGTTCTTGATAAATCCCTAGAAATGGAATTGCTGAACCAATGGAACATGCATTTTTAAAATAAGTTTTTATTGATTTTTTTAAGGGAGAGGAAGGGGGAGAGAGAGAGAAACATCGATGTGAGAGAAATATATCAGTAGGCTGCCTCCTTCCCCCCTCGCACTGGGCATTGAACCCACAACCCAGGCATGTGTCCTGACCAGGAATCAAACCGTCACCTCTCAGTCCGAGGGACGATGCTCAACCCACTGAGCCACACTGGCCAGGCAGCACGTGCATTTTTAAATTGTACTCTATGAGTCCTACTTTTCTGATATAACAGTTTTACCCTTATTGTACACTTCCTTTTACTTCTGATAACCATTCTCTTTCCCTGGAAATGGACCCAGAAGGTCAGCCAGCGTCAGCTTTAGGGGAGCAAAGAACTGTACAAATAATGAGAACATGAACCTACTTAATACATCAGAATAAATTTATAGAAGGAGTCAAGTTCAATTTATCAAAAACCCATGGAAATCCTGGACCCCCAGATTATACTAATATTTCTGAAGTCTTAAAAGCAAAGCATATGTAGCTTTTGATACACTTTTCTGAGGGACGCATGCATTGTTTTTTAAATTTTATGGTGATGTATTTAAATATTTTCCAGTCATCATACCATACGAAATTATTCAGTATGCATTTCTAATAACATTTTTCACATAACCAAAATAGCAATGATTACTCCTAAAAACTTTTTTCCCCTTTAATGTGTTTTTTAATTAATTTTTTACAGAGAGGAAGGGTATGTGAACCCTTCACATAGATGTGAAAAACATCCATCGGCTGCCTCCTGCATGTCCCCTACTGGGGATCAAGGCCACGACTTGGGCATGTGCTCTGACCGGGAATCAAACCCTGATCTCTCAGTCCATGGGACGATGCTCAATCCACTGAGCCATACCAGCTGGGCAAAACTTTATTTCTTAATGTCATATACTATCTGATGAATATTCAAGTTCCTCATTTGTCCTTAAAATACCTTTTATAGAAGATTTGTTGCCTTTCCAACTATCCACTATTAGGCATTCATATTTATTTAAAAGACTTATGACAGATTTCATGTCTACCCTAGGTATATAAAAACATCTCTTGCCCCAAACTTTGGCCAACTTTAGGAATTACTATTTTTGCTATATTTTTTATTTTAAACACTATCTCTGTGTTAGAAAGTCTGCGGAAACATTTAAACAAGGATAAGTGACGTTCCATTAGGTAGGTATGGCATGTTCTTCCCCCCGGGGCCCCTGTGGTTGGCTCTGTAGCAGTTGTGGTTCTTCCTGCCTTTACTGGACAACTAGGTGTGGTGGAGCTAATGGCTGTGGTTGTGCCTTGTGTGAGTTTGTGTCATCCCTCCTCTACATCAGAATCCACCTCATTGCCTGGAAATCACGCCACCATCTTCAGAAAAACTGGTCTCAGTGATGCGGTTAAGTGACCTCTCTACAGAAGATGATGATTCAGGTCACTGTAAAATGAACCATTATGATAAGAAGATTGACAGTCTAATGAATGCAGTTGGTTGTCTCAAATCTGAGGTGAGAGATGTGGGAGGTTGGGATAGCTAGTACCCCGAGGATGTAGATTGCCCAGGTACGTTCCTGGTGGGCACTTCCAGCTGCCTCTCTGCAGGCCTCCCACCCTTCTTAGCAAGCTGCCCAGAACTTCAGATGTCCCTGGAGAGGTAGCTGCAACCTGGGATCCCTCTCCATTAAGCACTGAGCCCAGTCCTGGCTCTGACCTTGCTTGGTGCTCTGTATGGATGGCCTGTTTTAATATTTTACAATAGTAAATGAACCTGGTAGTAGTATTGTCCCCATTTTGAAAATGAAGTGACAAGGACACTGGGGCCTCTGCTTTCCATCTTACACAAGATATTTTTTCATTGACTTTTAGAGAGAGAGAAAGGGAAAGGGAGATGGAGAAACATTGATGTGAGAGAGAAGCATCGATCGGCTGCCTCCTGCATGCTGCTGCCAGGGATCTAGCCTGCAACCTAGGCATGTTCCCTGACTGAGAATCAAACTGGCAACCTTTCGGTGCACGGGATAATGCCCAGCTAACTGAACCACACAGGCCAGGGCTACACAAAAGATTTTCTAAAAAACAAAGCTCCAAAGAGATGAAGGAAGTTTGTCCTCAATTGCTGGACTGTGTCTTTGGGTGGGATGTGGCAATGGGATCAGAAACAACCTAGAAGACCACAGCCCCCAACTAGAAGTTGGCATTGCTGGTGTGAAATCCAGGTCTTGACTGCTAATGTAGCCTGTGTCTTTAATTCTCCACCCATCACTTGGGGCCCTCAGGCCCTCCTGGAGAACTTGGGGCTGGCTGCCTGGCAACAGTCCCTCCTTCCGCTGTGCCCTACAGCACAGGGGCCTTTTTGTCATACCTTTCCTCCAGTTGAACCACGATTTGTATCCTGGCTCTGTCCTCAACCAGCAAGCCACTCAAGCTCACTGTGACAATTAAGATTTCATCCCAAAGCATCAAGTGCCTATGTAGGTCTCACTCAGAGGTGCCCTTAATTTGGCCCAAAGCAATGCGTCTAGTGATGTGGCAGGGAGGAGGGGCCACCCTTCAGTGGCCCCTGCCTGTGTGCCCATGCACAGGTCAAGATGCAAAAGGGTGAGCGCCAGATGGCCAAAAGGTTTTTGGAAGAGCGGAAGGAGGAGCTGGAGGAGGTGGCCCACGAGCTGGCTGAGACCGAGCATGAGAACACGGTGCTGAGGCACAACATCGAGCGCATCAAGGAGGAGAAGGACTATACCATGTAAGTTGGCCCTGCCCTGGAGTTCAGTTCCTCCTTAGTTACCTGATTCACAGTGTGAGGAAAGAGGACCCCCCCTTGGGGGGTTAGGGAAGCCTTTCTGGAAAAAGTGACATTTAAGGGGAGTCATGTAGATGGTTAGGAGTTAGGCAGGTGGATGCTGGGGAACATCCCATGTGAAGGTCCCAAGATGGAAGGGTTCTGTGACTGAGAAATGGAAAGCAGACCAGATGAGGAGGGTGAGTGGGCAGAGGACAAGGTGTGCCACAGAGTTTGGCAGGGGCTAGCTCTTAGCAGCCACTTCGAGGAGTTTGCATTGAGGGCAGTTGGGAGTCATGGAAGGGTTTTCAAAGCAGGGGATGGTGTGACCAGACCTGGCTGCTGTGTGGTGAGTGAATGGGACAGCTCAAAAGCTTATCTGAAGATGGTTACAAGGCCATGGCAGTGGCCGGGGACAGAGTGATGCTAGTGACTAAGACAAGCAGGGCTACAGGTGGCATAATGTGACCTGGTATGGAAGTCATGCTTTGGTGCCCAGGTGTCTTTCAAGAAGGCCACTTGGGCCAGAGCCATCTCTTCCCCCTCCCCCACCGTTCCTTGACCAGGAGATGAGCCTCACAGGGCATTGTGAGGCGAGCCTCAGAGCTCCGGGCGGCAGGGGCCTAAGAGGCCTCAAAGAGCCCTATTCTTTCTGGCCCCAGGCTTCAGAAGAAACACCTCCAGCAGGAGAAGGAGTGCCTCATGTCCAAGTTGGTAGAGGCTGAAATGGATGGAGCTGCTGCTGCCAAGCAAGTCATGGCCTTGAAGGACACCATCGGAAAGCTGAAGACGGTGGGTGGCAGGCAAAGCAACCTAGCCCTGGGACTAGGCCCAGAGAGAAGGCAGCCACAAGCTGGGGTGGGGGCTTTATGCAGTTACCAGGCTAACTTTATGACATCTCCAGGCTGGGGGAGGGCACACTTAACGCTTAGCCCCCAACCTCACTCAGGTCTAGGGCCTGACCCTCAAGGATGACCTCTGGTGGCCAGGCCCTCTGGGTCTTCTGTGATCCCTGCACCATCTGATTCCTGCAACTACCGTATCAGCCACCAGGTGTCATCCTTCTATGCTTCCTCCAGGAAGCCTGCCCTTACTGCACTCGCCCACACTGAGTTCCCCAGCCCCTTTCCCCACTTGTCATTGTCAGCAGGCTCAGATCCTGCCCATCCTTCTAGGTCCAACACCTCCAGGAAGCCTGTCCTCACCACCTTATTCCTGTATACACCCCAGCTCTTCTTTCCCTGGCTTCCTGGCACCTGCACCTCTTAAGTCCCCTGTGTGGCCTGCCTCTGCTGGCTCTTCCCTTCTCTCCCTGTATCATGTAGGACTGCTTGCTGTCTTCCAGGAGAAACAAATGACTTGCACGGACATCAATACCTTAACGAGGCAGAAGGAACTTCTCCTGCAAAAGCTGAGCACATTTGAGGAGACCAACCGCACCCTCCGTGACCTGCTGAGGGAACAGCATTGCAGAGAGGTGAGCTCCTGGCTCCAGCCCCACTATAAGCGCTTGACTTAGCTCCACCCCTCTAGCCTCACATATCCATTCTCTAAGCCTTAGTCTCTTCTGTAAAAAGAAAATACTGTTGCCCTGGCCCGTGTGGCTCATTTAGTTCACATCGTCCCGTGCACCAAAAGGTTGTCATTTTGATTCCCAGTGGGCACATACCCAGGTATTGAGCTTGATCCCCAGTAGGGGGCGTGCAGGAAGCAGCAATCCACGTTTCTCTCACATCAATGTCTCTCTCTCTCTCTCTCTCTTCCCCTCTCCCTTTTTCTTTTTCTAAAAATCAATAAACTATTCCTTAAAAAAGAAAGACGGGAAAATACTATTGGTGCCTGAACTGAGAGGGCCATAGAAAGATTTGACAAAATCATTCACACAGAGTGTTTACATAGATTTGGCAAAATCATTCACCTAATAGACATGGAAGCTGGACTGTGCAGCACAGGAAGGACCTTGGGAGTCAGGAGAAGGGCAGTGGGGAGCCGGGGAGGGGTTCAGCCTGTCCAGAGCTCAGGTGGCAGAATGGGGAGAGTGCTAGACCTGAGCTTTGGTAAAGTAGAAGAAAGACTAATGGCTGGTGGACACAAATTGTATGGTATTCATTTTCTTAAAAGATGGTCTCTGAAATTCATTGTATGTTAGCAAATGATTCTGAAAAGACTGACAGTATAAACACCCATCTTCCTGTTTGGTTCAAACCAAAGGGACACCAAGAGTCTCAAAATCCCAGTGGTAATGAAATGATGACATTTTTTTTAGTTTAGTGTCTTTTTTTGAACCAATATTGTCAACTTCTCTTGTTTTTATATTTAAAATGAGTAATATAACGTGGTATACCCACACTGCAGCTTTCCAAACAAAACCTCATTCACATAGTTAAATCCCTCTTGTGTCTCCTTTGGCGATAACCCCTCATCTCCCTCCCCTCAGAGGGAACCTTTATCTTGAATCGGATAGCTTTATCACATATGTATTTATTCCTAAGCAACATTTAGTATCATTGAGTCAAGTTTTCTTTCTTTTTTTTTTTTTTAAGTCATCTTTATTGTTGAATGTATTTCTCCCCTTTTTCCCCATTGACACCCTCCTCCCCAATCTTGCCCCCGTCCTGCCTTCCCAACACTATTGTTGGTGTTTATTGGTTATGCATATATGCATAGAAGTTCTTTGGTTTATCTCATCCTGCCCTCCCTCCACCCTTCCCTTTGAGGTTCATCACTCTAACAAATTTGTACTTATTAATTTCTTCATCTTTTTCACCCATCCCCCCAGCCCCACCCATCTGGCAAGCAACAAAAAGTTCTCTGTATCTATGAGTCTGTTTCTGTTCTGCTTGCTCATTTTGTTTGTAGATTCAATTGTTGATAGATATGTATCAATTGCCATTTGATTGTTCATATTTTTAATTCTTCTCCTTCAAAAATACCCATCATCATTTCATATAATACTGGTTTGGTGGTGATGAATTCCTTTAGCTTCTTCTTGTCTGGGAAACTCTTGATATGTCTATCTAAATGATAGCTTTGCAGGATAGAGTGGTCTTGGTTGTAGGTCATTGCTTTTCATCACCTTGAATATCTCTTGCCACTTCTCTCTGGCATGCAAAGTTTCTTTTGAGAAATCAGCTGACAGTCTTATAGGAGCTTCTTTGTAGGTAACTGACGGCTTTTCTCTTGCTACTTTTAAGATTCTCTCTTTGTATTTAACCTTTGGCATTTTGATAATGATGTGTCTTGGTGTGGACCTCTTTGGGTTCAACTTGTTTGGGACTCTCTGTGCTTCCTGGACTTGTATGTCTGGTTCCTTCACCAAGTTAGGAAAGTTTTCTGCCATTATTGTTTCAAATAGGTTTTCGATTTCTTGTTCTCTCTCTTCTCCTTCTGGCACCCCTATGATGCGAATGTTGGCACGCTTGAAGTTGTCCCAGAGGCTCCTTACACTATCCTTATGTTTTTGGATTCTTTTTTCTTTTTGCTGTTCTGATTGGGTGTTTCCTGCTTCCTTATATTCCAAATTGATGGTTTGCTTCTTGACTTTACCTCCTCTACTATTGATTTCCTATAAATTATTCTTTATTTCAGTTAGTGCATCCTCCATTTCTGACTGGTCCTTTTTTATGTTGTTGATGTTCTCACTAAGTCCCTTGAATGTCTCACCAAGTTCCTTGAGCAACCTTATAACCTGTGTTTTGAACTCTGCATCTGATTGATTGCTTATCTCCATTTTGTTTAGTTCTTTTTCTGGAGTTTTGTTCTTTCATTTGGGACATGTTTCTTTGTCTCCTCATTTTGGTTGCTTCCCTGTGATTGTTTCTATGGATTAGGTCGAGTTGCTATGTCTCCTAGGCTTTGTAGGGTGGCCTATTGTTGTAGGTGTCCTGGGGTGGCACAGTCTCCCTGATCACCCCATCTGGGCCCCCAAGGTGCAGCCCTAGTGTGGACTGTACACCCTTCTGTTGTAATTGAGTCTTAATTGCTGTTGCCACGTCAGTGGGAGGGATTTACTCAGGCTGATCAGCTGCAAGGACTGGCTGTGCCCACTAACCACTGGCCTCTGACTACCTTGGGGGATCAGCAGTGTAGAGGCCCACCACACAGAGTAAGACTTACTTCATCAGGGCTCTGGTACCCAGTGAGTCCGCTCATTGAGTGTGTCACTTGTGGAGGTGATTGGGTGATGTTGTTTCGATGTGGTCTTAAGCTGTCCACTGGGTGTGCTGGCTCTGGGGCAAGGTCAGCCACTGCCTGTGTTCTATCCAGGGCCACCTGGCATAAGGTACAAAGCGATCTGCAGATGGCTGCTTCTTGTGCTGGGCTTGGAGGTGTTCAGGAAAAGCCAACTTGTGAACCAAGGCTGGCTGCTTCTGGTGCCAAGCCTGGGGCCACTTAACAAGGGGTATGGGGCTTGCTGAGACCAGATGCTGCTTGTTTGAGAGATTTTAGAAAACTGAAGCAGGATCCAAGACAGGCCAATCCTATGGTAAAGCCTTTGGAAACAGCTTGGGTGGGCCTGAAAGTTGGGTGGGGCGGGGCCTCAGGGAATCACCAGGGTGGGGCAAACAGTGTGAGCCAGGTTGTTGGAGTCCCCGATAAGGCGGCAGTCCGCCGCCCCAGGGAAGGGCTCACCAAAGGAACATCATCAGCCTCCACCAGCACCTCTGTCCAGGAGAAAGGTGCTCCTCCAGCCCTCGTCCTGAAGCCAAACAGCTCAGTTTTTCCCTATTCTCTGGTGCCCCTCAAGCTGCCTCCCCTCTGACCTCAGAGGGAACGCGTCTGAACAAGTCCATGCATGCATAAGCCCTTTAAGAGAAACTGCCCGGGGCTCCAGCCACCTCAGCCTTCCTCAGCCTCAGTTCCCACTGGTTTTTACAGCCAGACGTTATGGGGACTTTTCTTCCTGTCAATGGAACCCTAAGCTGGGACCCCTCACTCCTCAGGTAGGACCTTCCCAGCCCAGGTGTCCCTCCTGATTTTTATCCACAACAAGTGGGTGTGGGACCAGCCCGTCCGCACCACCACGCCTCCTACCAGTCTCGATGGATGTGGCTGCTTTAATTTCGTAGTTGTAGGACTTCCATTCAGCTCGATTTCAGGTAGTTCTGAATGATGGTTTTGTTGTAGTTTAGTTATAATTTTGATGTGTTTGTGGGAGGAGCGATGCTGCATTTACTTACGCCACCATCTTGACCAGAAGTCTTGAGTAAAGTTTTTAAACTTACGTTATGGTATTATTTCACATATAATCTATTGTGTTTGCTTTATTTTTCTTTCATTTTTTTAAAGTCTTTATTGTTGAATACTACAGATATTCCTCATTTTTCCCCCATTGACCCCCCCTCCTCACTCATGCCTCCCTCCTGCCTTTTTTCACACTGTTGTCTGTGTCCATTGGTTATGCATATAAGTTCTTTGGTTTATTTCTTTCCACCCCCCCAACCCCCTTCCCTTTGAGGTTTGTCAGTCTAGCAACCAATTTGTACTTCTTAATCCCTTCACCTTTTTCACCCATTCTCCCAACCCCCTCCCATCTAGAAACCAATAAAATGTTTTCTATATCTATGAGAATGTTTCTGTTCTCCCTGTTCATTTTGTTTGTAGATTCAATTGTCGATAGATATGTATTCATTGCCATTTTGTTCGTTCATATATTTTATCTTTTTCTTCAAAAAGACCGTTCAACATTTCATATAATAACGATTTGGTGGTGATGAACTCCTTTAACTTTTTCTTGTCTGGTGGGAAACTCTTTATATGGCCATCGATTCTAAATGACAGCTTTGCAGGATAGAGTAATCTTGGTTGTAGGTTCTTGCTTTTCATCACTCTGAATATTTCTTGCCACTCCCTTCTGGCCTGCAAAGTTTCCTTTGAGAAATAAGCTGACAGTGGGAACTCCCTTGTAGGTAACTAACTGCTTTCCTCTTGCTGCTTTTAAGATTCTCTCTTTGTCTTGAACCTTTTGCATTTTGATGATGATGTGTCTTGGTGTGGGCCTCTTGGGGTTCAATTTGTTTGGGACTCTCTGTGCTTCCTGGACTTGTATATCTGTTTCCTACACCAAGTTAGGGAAGTGTTCTGCCATTATTGTTTCAAATAGGTTTTCGATTTCTTGTTCTCTCTCTTCTCCTTCTGGCACCCCCAAGATGCGAATGTTGGCACACTTGAAGTTGACCCAGAGGCTCCTTACACTACCCTTATGTTTTTGGATTCTTTTTTCTTTTTGCTGTTCTGATTGGATGTTTTTTGCTTCCTTGTGTTCCAAATTGATGGTTTTGCTTCTTGGCTTTATCTACTGTATTATTGAATCTGTGTAAATTATTCTTTATTTCAGTTAATGCCTCCTTCATTTCTGACTGTGCATCCTCCATTTCTGACTGGTCCTTTTTTATGCTCTTGAGACCCTCACTAAGTTCACTGAGGTTCTCACTAAGTTCATTGAGCATCCTTATAAGCAGTATTTTGAACTCAGCATCTGTTAGGTTGCTTATCTCCATTTCACTTAGTTCTTTCCCTGGGGTTTCGTTCTGTTCTTTCATTTGAGACCTGTTTCTTTGTCTCCTCATTTTGGCTGCCTCCCTGTGTTTGTTTGTTTCTGTGTATTACTTAACGAGAGGTATGGGGCTATCTGAGACCAGATGCTGCTTGTTTGAAAAAATTTAGGAAAATCTGAAGCAGGATCCAAACAGGCCAATCCTATGGTCAAGCAACTGGCAACAACTTGGGTGGGCCTGCAAGTTGGGTGGGGCGGGGCCTCAGTGAATTACTAGGGTGGGGCAACCAGTGTGAGCCAGGTTGCTGGAGTCCCAGATATGGCGGCTGTCTGCGCCCCAGGGAAGGGCTCACCAGAGGAACAAAGGCCTCCGAGGGCACGTCTGTCTGGGACAAAGCCCCCTCTCCAGCCCTCGCCCCAATGCCAAACAGCTCAGTTCTTCCCTGTATGTCTCTGGCACCCCTCAACTGCCTCCCCTCCAAGCTTAGAGGGAGTGAATCCGATAAGTCCATCTGCGGGCCCTTTAAGAGGAGCTGCCTGGGGCTCTAGCCGCCTCAGCCTCCCTGAGCCTCAGTTCCTGCTGGTTTTTCCAGCCAGAAGTTATGGGGATTCTCTTCCTGGCACTAGAACCCTGAGCGGGGCACCTGGTGTGGGACGGGGACCCTTCACTTCTTAGGGAGGACCTTCCCAGCTGAGGTGTCCTCCTGATTTTTTTTTTTTTATCCTCACCCGAGGACATTTTTCCATTTTTTGTTCAGGTAGAGTGGAAGGGAGAAAGAGGAACAGAGAGAGAGAGAAACATCGATGTGAAAGGGACACACCGAGTGGCTGCCACCCGCACGACCAACCAGGGCTGGGGACAAACTGCAACCAAGGTATGTGCCCTTAGCGGGAACCAAACCCGGGTCTCTCTGGACCGCAGGCTGACGTTCTAACTGCTGAGCCAAACCGGCCAGGGCCCTCCTGATTTTTATCCGCCACACGTGGGTGTGGGACCAGCCGATCCGCCTCGGCCTCTCCTAACAGTCTCGATGCAGCTGCTGCTTTAATTCCGTAGTTGTAGGACTTCCATTCAACTTGATTCAGGTGGGTTTGAATGATGGTTGTTCTGTAGTTTAGTTGTAACTTTGATGTGGTTGTGGGAGGACGCGATACCGCGTTTACCTTCCCGCCGTCTTGACCAGAAGTCCTAAGTTTGCATTTTTCACTCAGTATTTTTCATGAGATTCATCTGTTTTTACCCTTGTGGCTTAAGGTAATTAATTTTCACTGACAATACCACAGTTTATGTGTCCATTCTTCTGTTGGAGACCTACTTTCAGATCTCTTTGCTGTTAAAACTAGTGTTATTTTGAGCACTTGTGCATTATCCTGGTGGGCTTGAGAGTTTCTAGAATACATATCTGTGAGTTTTATTAGTTATAGCAAAGTTATTCTCTTAAACTTGTAATAACTGGCCCTGGCTGGTGTGGCCCAGTTGGTTGAGTGTTGTCCCATGCACCTAAAGATTGCTGGTTCGATTCCTGGTCAGGGTACATGCTGATTTCAGGCTGGATCCCCAGTAGGGGGCGTGCAGGAGGCAGCATCAATGGTTCTCTTATCAATGTTTCTCTCCCTTTCCCCTCCTCTCTCTCTCTAAAGTCAATACAAACATTTAAAAAATTGTAATAAATTTTATTTCTAGCTCAGTGTTCTTAGGTGGGTAATTTTTACCTCTCTGATTTGTGGCAGCTGAAATGCCCTGCACACAGTCTCCTGTTGGTTTTAACCCTAAAGAGACACTTTGTACATGCCCAGGGATTCCATTGCAGTTGCAAAACCTGGCACCAACCTTACTGCCCAGAGGTTATGGGAGAGTTTAAAAAAGCAGTGGCATGCCCTGACTGGTACAGCTCAGTTGGTGGGGCATCATCTTGTGCACCAGGAGGTGGCCCATTCTATTCCCAGTAAGAGGCACGTGCCTGGGTTGCAGGCTCCATCCCCGGTAGTGGCCATGTGGCAGGCAGCTGATTAATGTTTCCCTCTCTGCCTTTCCCTTCCACTCTCTAAAAATCAATAAACTATTTACAAAAATGCACTGGCATGTTAGAGACAGGAAGCAGATGAGTGATGGCTGGGGAAAGGGAAAATGGAGGCTGACTTCCTTAATGGGTACAAGGTTTCCTTTTGGGGTGATGTAAATGTTCCAGAACTAGGTAGTAGTAAGGATTGTAAACTGTTGTAAATGTACTGTATGCCACAGAATTTTACACTTAATAGTTAAAATGGCAAAATTTATAAGTATTTTACCACAATTTTAAAAAATTAATGAAATGTACCAAAAATCATTGACTTGTATATTTAAAATGGATGACTTACATGGTATCTAAATTTATATCTTTTTTTTTTTTTTATCCTCACTTGAGGACATTATTGCATTTATCTTTAGACAGTGAGAGGGAGAGAAGGAAGGAGAGAGAGAGAGAGAAACATTGATGTGAGAGAGACACATCAAGTGGTTGCTACCCACACAACCCTAACCGGGGCCGGGTACAAACTGCAACCAAGGTGGGAACCAAACCTGGGACTCTCTGGTCTGCGGGCCAACGCCCTAACCACTGAGCAAAACCGCCAGGGCTCAATTTATATCTTTTTTTTTTTTTTTTATCCTCACCCGAGGATATTTTTCCATTTTTTTGTACAGATAGAGTGGGAGGGAGAGAGAGGAAGAGAGAGAGAGAGAGAGAGAGAGAGAAACATCGACATGAAGTGACACATCGAGTGGCTGCCACCCGCACGACCAACCAGGGCCGGGGACAAACTGCTACCGAAGTACGTGCCCTTAGCGGGAACCGAACCCGGGTCTCTCCGGACCTCAGGCCAACGCTCTAACCGCTGAGCCAAACTGGCCAGGACTCAATTTATATCTTAATAAAGTTTTTTTTTTTTTAATCCTCACTTGAGGACATTTTTCTACTTATCTTCAGATAGAGTGGGAAGGAGGGGGAGAGAGAGGGAGAAACATTGATGTGAGAGAGACACATCGACTGGTTGCCTCCTGAACATCCCCAACCAGGGACAGGGGTGAACTGCAACGGAGGTACTTGCCCTGGACCGGAATTGAACCTGCAACTCTTTTGTCCATGGGCCGATGCTCTAACCGCTGAGCCAAACCGGCCAGGGCTCAATAAAACTTTTTTAAAAAATCAACTAGTGCCCTGGCCGGTTTGGCTCAGCGGTTAGAGCGTTGGCCTGCAGTCTGGGGAGACCCAGGTTTGGTTCCCGCTAAGGGCACGTACCTCAGTTGCAGTTTGTCCCCGGCCCTGGTTGGGTCGTGCAGGTGGCAACCACTCAGTGTGTCCCTTTCACATCGATGTTTCTCTCTCTCTCTCTCTCCCTCCCACTCTATCTGAACAAAATATCAAACAAATAAAATAATAATAAAAAATCAACTCGTAGTACAAAAATACAGTATAATAATATTTTGGTAGAATTACGTATGAATCCCTTTCTATCTGCAAAAGATAATAGTTCTCTACATGTCACTGTATAAATGCTTAGAGGAAGGATAGGCGGGGCACTTTTTAAACTAATAACAGTAGCCCTGGCCAGTTTGGCTCAGCGGTTAGAGCGTCGGCCTGCGGTCCGGAGAGACCCGGGTTCGGTTCCCGCTAAGGGCACGTACTTCCGTTGCAGTTTGTCCCCGGCCCTGGTTGGTCGTGCGGGTGGCAGCCACTCCATGTGTCCCTTCACATCGATGTTTTTCTCTCTCTCTCCCTTCCTCTCTCTCCCTCCCACTCTATCTGTACAAAAAATGGAAAAATATCCTTGGGTGAGGATAAAAAAAAAAATTAAACTAATAACAGTATGGGGGTGAGGGGCACTTGAGCTTTATCAGTGTTCATTAAGTATTTCATAATGAGAATGTAGTTTTTCCTATTTTATAATTAGAAGTATCATTTTGGAAAAGGAAAAGAACTGAGAGAATGTAGCCACCTGGGTTTATTGCTTAATGGCTTGGCTTTCCTTTTGCCTTCCCTGGAAGGATTCCGGAAGGCTGATGGAGCAACAAGGAACACTTCTGAAACGGCTGGCGGAGGCAGACTCTGAGAAAGCGGTACGTCACGCGCCCCTGCTGGCTTTCGTGGGTCACCTCGATAAAGCTGCAGGTGCTGAATGGAGGCAGCAGGGCTATAGCCCTGCTCTGACATTCCTCTGGGTCTTTGTTTCATGATCTGTAAAATGGGCTGATGTCCACTGTCCTACCTGCTCCACTGGGCTTGTCTAGTTGATCAGTTGAGAGTTTAAGTCACCAAGTTGGACACCAACCTGAGAGATTATGATGATGATGATGATGATGATGATGATGGAGATGGACTTACAAATCATCACTGTCTGTCACCTGAACTTCCGTATTTGTATTATGGATTAAAAGCCATCAAAACATATAGACTTTTTCATTCAACAATTCCAATTCTAGGAATACCTCCCAAGGTAGCCTGTTCCAGAACTTACTCCATGGAACCCTAAGTTCCTCAAGATGTTAATGGGTGAATTTTACTAGTTATAGTGAAATTATTCTTTTAAAATTATAATAACTTTTATTTACAAAACAAAAGTGGGAAGTGATCCCTGACCAAATAAATTTGGGAAACTACTGGCTGACCTGAACAAAAAGTTCAACAAGTTTCTTAACTCCAGGACCCTTTGGAGCCTTTGATGTATCAGTGCCCAGCATGCTTCCCAAGGTTTAGCCCCTGGCCCTCAATGCTTCAGTGAATATCTTAGCGAGAAAGTCAGCAGTCATGGCGATGGTGCCTAAACCTCCATTCCTAGCTTGAGAGGCCTTGACAAATTGTGACACATCAGTAAATTGAAATGTTAAGCTGCTGTTTCAAAAGCTATGGAACATTGCCCGGCCAGTGTGGCTCAGTGGTGGAACATCAACCCATGCACCAAGAGGTCACCGGTTCAATTCCCGGTCAGGGCACATGCCCAGGTTGTGGGCCCGATCCCCAGTGGGGGTCCTGCAGGAAGCAGCCAGTTGATGCTCTGTCTCATCGACGTTTCTCTCTCTTCCTCTCCCTTCCTATCTCTAAAGCAGTGTTTCTCAACCTTGCTAATGCCGCGACCCTTTACAGTTCCTCATGTTGTATGTGGGCTCATCTGCACCTGGGCGGACCCGCCTGGAGACCAATAGAGGAGCGGTGTCTTGGTTCCTAAGACCATCGGAAATATGTGTTTTCCCATGGTCTCAGGCGACCCCTCTGAAAGGGTCGTTGACCCCCAAAGGACCCACAGGCTGAGAACCAATGCTCTAAAGTCAATAAAGAAAAATAATTTTTAAAAAAAAGCTATGTAAGATTTAATCACATTTTAGCTAATGTGGGAGTGGAGGTTAGAGACTAAAAGAAGCATATGACTTCTTAATGTGTTAACAGTGTTATCTCTGGGTTGGGATTGTGGGGGTTCTTTAGCTTTTTCTTTTTTCAGTATTCCACAATTAATGTTACTTTACTTAAATTGCAAAATAAATGCATGTGTATTGTCTTTAATATTTAATACAGGTGTTAGGTGCTTCCCACCAGGGTCTCTGTGGCATGGGCCAGTGTATTTGGGAACTGGGGCCCTGGTGGCCAGGCACTCATAGGAGTGTCTCTCCTCTCTGGGCTGGGCCTCCTTGGGAGCTCATGATACTGTGTGTTCTCTCCAGCGGCTGCTGTTACTGCTGCAAGACAAGGACAAAGAGGTGGAAGAGCTTCTCCAGGAAATACAGTGTGAGAAGGTATCATCCCCAACAGTTGTTCCTTCTTACTGGCCAGTAGAGCTCAGTGGGTAGAGTGTGCTCTGGAATTGGAGACCTGGGTTCAAATTCTGGCTCTATCACTTTCTCCATCTCTCCAAAGGCTCAAGCAAAGACAGCATCTGAGCTCTCTAAGTCCATGGAGTCTATGCGTGGGCACTTGCAGGCACAGCTTCGATGCAAAGAGGCAGAGAACAGTCGCTTGTGCATGCAGATCAAGGTACCTGCTGGCTTCACGGGTAGGGATGGTGGGGGTAGCAGCCTGGCTGTCCAAGGCCGGTGGCTGGGCCAAGCCTAACACATTCAGGAAGGCTTTGCTTCAAAGGATTATGGGGCAGCTGCTGCCAAAGCACTTGTGCTTCAGAGACTCAGGGACAGTGGCAAAAACAATGGACCTGGAGGTCTTGGGTGCCCTTCCCAGCAGTGACTGGGTTGGGTTTCATGCCCCGAAGCCAATCACTTCATCCCTTTCAGTTCTAACTAGCCATGGGGAGGAAAGATGGTCTCAAATGCTGGTTGCATCTGTGAACCAGGGACCCACTGAAGTCGCAGCTCTGCTGAGTGACTGGGGGATCTCTTACTACTTTGCTGGGAGTTCAAGGAAGGATTCCAGAAGAGTTCTAACGTTAAGATCTGATGGGTTTAGTGATTCATGACCAAATAAATTTGGCAAGCTTGGGAAGGGCCCTCGTCTCTGGTGTGTGTTAGGGGAACCTTACCCCCCCCAATAGTTAATGACCCGTTCTTTCTCCCTCTTCCTCATTCCCTATTTTCACTGGTTCCCTTTTCTCCCTCCCTCTCGACTCTCTGCTTGCCTTCCTCTGGCCTTACTTGTCTCTCTCCCTCATCCGGTCCCTTTCCTCCCAATCTGTTCCCTGGCCCTCCCCTCCCAGAACCTGGAGCGCAGTGGGAACCAGCACAAGGCAGAAGTGGAGGCCATCATGGAGCAGCTGAAGGAATTGAAGCAAAAGGGAGACCGAGACAAAGAGTCTTTGAAAAAGGCCATCCGAGCCCAGAAGGAACGAGCTGAGAAGAGCGAGGAATACGCGGAGCAGCTGCACGTGCAACTTGCTGACAAGGTAGCAGGCCTTCCCAGCCGAGGGCTGCGTGGAGGTGGAGGGGGCTGGTTAGATAGGTGGGTAGCAGATGGGTGGCTGAACGCAGGTGGTTTGGGTGGGCAGAGGTGGAACAGCTGAACAGGTAGCAGAGCAGGTGAATGGAGGGAAAATGGCAGTAAAATGGGTGAATGAGCTGGTAGGATGGCTGGCTGGGTGGACGGGGAGGGAGAGGGGGCATTAAATGGTTAAAAGGGTGACAATGGGGTTAGGAGGCTGACTGGAGATGATTGGAGGGTTTGTAGGACAAACATCAATATTGTGGGTAAGAATGGTGGTTAAGGAAGGATTTGCAAACAGGGTGGGTGTGATTGCTGGAAATCTAGAAGCAACAGCTGGCTTCCCTCTGTCACTCGATGTTCTCTAGAGAGGCATTGCGGGGTGAGGGGTGGGGGGGTCGCCCAGCCCCCAACTCCCTCAGCCTCAGTCCTGACACCAGGTGACGGGCCCTGTTGTCCCGTGTTCCCAGGATCTTTATGTTGCTGAAGCTTTATCCACTCTGGAATCATGGAGAAGCCGATACAACCAAGTTGTAAAAGATAAAGGGGACCTCGAGCTGGAAATTATTGTCCTGAACGAGTACGTCTGTGTTGGGAGAGGGAGCGTGGGCCGACTGAGGGAAGTAGATATGTAGGTGGAAGGGGCCTGGTCACCTGAGGCAGGTCACATCACGCACATGTCTGCCATTTGGTCTCCTCCAGTCGAGGGCTGCACTGGACTGAGATGTGGGCAGCCCTGAGCCCCAGCCCCAGTCCTGGGGCCCTTCCGCCAGAGCAGTACAGTGGAGGGCAGGGGCCAGGCTTCTCTGGTCACAGAGGCTTCAGCCTGACTCCAGTTCCTGGGCCTGAGCCGAGTTCTAGTCTGCACAGCCCGGGAAATGGGCACAGGCGCACTGGTCACCTCATTCCTGTTCTTGGGGGATGGGACGACGGTAATCCCCGTGTGTGTCTCTGCTGTTTTGCCAGCCAGTCACTAGGTCAGAGTTGAGACTTGGGAGTAGAGTACAAAAGTGGCCTCACTGTGTACTCTACAGTGACTGTTCAGACTTTCTCAGTGTCAGCTGTATGCTTGTGATTGTTCATTTAAAAATACTTATTGAGCATTTACTATATACCAGGCTATGTGCTGGCCTTGAGGGTTTCAGCAGTAAAAAGACAAATGCATTCTCTGCTCTCGTGGAGGTAAATACTGTACTCAAATAGAGAAGATGGGGCTACAGAGACCTGGACCCCCCGGGCTAAGGACAGGTCACAGGGGACTAACTTAATCTTCAAGTCAGGAAAGTCTTCCCTGAGGAAGTGTCTTTTGCTGTATTCAACTCAATTTAGCAAACATGTTCTGAGAACCTGCTATGTGCCAGGCCCTATGACAAGTGCTACCCTCAGAAAGTTCTCTGTCTAGTAGGAGAAAAACAGATAATTAAGATAGAAGATATATGGTACAGATGAGAGGGATCGGGGGGGAGAGGCCCTGTGGAAAGAAGTCTGGACGGGTTTTTAAGGATGAGTAGGCGTTTGCCAGGTAAAACAACATGATGTGTTGGCTTGGGCCTAGTCATTGCTCAGAAATATTTGCCAACTGAATCATAATTGATCAATACTGAGAACACACAGCATAGATAGGTTCTATATTGCTTCTGTGGTCAAGATAGACGAGGAATGTCCTCAGAGGCATGGGCTCTGTTCTTGGATTATTGCCCTGCTGAGAGATGGGAAGGAGAAGGGCACGAGGGCAGGTGGGCAGCCAGCTGCCGAGTTGACTTTTGTCCCTCTGTTTTATATACATTCATTGCGCTTCCTGCCTGAGCTAGGTGAGTGTTCACAATGTGAACAGGCCGATCGTGACACCTGTTCTTGCCTGGAGATACTGAACCCCAGTGTGACATGTGCCCGAGAGAGAGGGATGCCTGGGGTATGGTGTCCCTGACCACTCAGCTTGGAGTTCTGTCCTAACCTCAGGACCTGATTGGTGCTGTGGAGAGCAGGGAAGGGGTCAAGTCTTGGCCTCATGGAAGCATCAGAATGGAGAATGCTTTTAGAGGGTCAGTATCTTTAGAGGGAGACACATCTCAAAGGTTGTTATCAGAGGTGGGATACAGGGGAATGCCACCAGGAGCAAAGCCAGGGCAGGACATACAGCTGCTTCTCAGGCTGGAGGTTGGGGAGCAGGCAGGGAGCCAAGAAGTCGGACATGACCTGAGTAGGAACACTTGAACCCACTCCACACAAGGACCCAGGCTCCTCAGAACCTATGTAATTGATTCTCCCTGTCTGCTTTCTCTTTGTGACCTTCAAGCCGAGTAACAGATCTGGTAAACCAACAACAAACCTTGGAGGAGAAGATGCGTGAAGATCGGGACGGCCTGGTGGAGAGACTACACCGGCAGACTGCGGAGTATTCTGCATTCAAACTGGAGAATGAGAGGCTGAAGGTCTGTATTCAGAGCCACGGCTGAGACAGATAGGGGACAGCAAAGAGGCCAATGGCTGGGCATTCCTGGTTGGGCCCCAGTGATCACAATGAGGGTCTTCAGAGGGCCTGGAGGGAGCAGCGTGATGAAGAAGCTTGAGTCAGCCCTGGCCGGTTTGGCTCAGTGGTTAGAGCATCGGCCCATGGACCAGAGAGACCCGGGTTCTGTTCCGCTAAGGGCATGTACCTCGGTTGCAGTTTGTCCCCAGCCCTGATTGGGGTTGTGTGGGTGGCAACCACTCCGATGTGTCTTTTTCACTTCGATGTTTCTCTCTCTCCCTCCCGCCCTATCTGAAGATAAATGCAAAAAATGTCCTCAGGTGAGGATTAAAAAAAGCTTGAGTCAGAAAGGCCTAGATTCAAGTCCTGCCTCTGCTCTTACTGGCTACAGGATGTTGGTGAGATATGTCATCCTTTGTAGCTGCAGATTCCTTAGTGGGGGGAAATGAGGTCCAAGTGAGAATGTGGAGATGCACGTGAAGTGCCTGACATGCCACGCAACTTGGCACATGCAATAGGCCTGACTTTGAGGTTAATGTTAACTCTCCTAGGGGGCTACTGGGTCCTTCACGTGAACTGATTCTCACTTTAACCTCCCAATAATGCGATGATTATCTCTCCTTTATAGAGTAAGGAAACTGAGTCTTGGAGAAAGGTCCAGTTTCTTGCCAAGATTTTGCCCCTGATAGTTTTGGAGTTGGGATTTGAACCTGAGTCTGGAGCTCTAGCTCTTTTTTTTTAATTTATTGATTTTAGAGAGATGAAGGGAGAGAGAACTAGAAACATCAGTTTGTTGTTCCACTTATTTACGCATTCACTGGTTGATTCCTTTTTTAAGAGAGAGGAAGGGAGAGGGAGAGAGAGAGAAGAAACATTGATGAGAGAGAACATCGACTGGCCGCCTCCTGCATGCTCCCCACTGGAGATTAGGCCCACAACCTGGGCATGTGCCCTGACCAGGAATCGAACTGTAAACCTCTTAGTGCATGGGTCGATGCTCAACCACTGACCCACACCGGCTGATTCTTGTATGTGCCCTGACTGGGGATCGAACCCATAACCTTGGCATAGTGGGATGATGCTTGAACCACCCGAGCTACCCAGCGAGGGTCTTGAGCTGTAGCTCTTAATCTCTTACTATACACCCTCCTAGAATGCCAGGGGTGAGAGGCACCTGAACAGAGATTGACATTTCAGAACCAGGTTTGACCTTGGTTTTCAATTGATCTGGTCAGGTTGCATTAATACCTAGGTTTATTTGTTTTACTAATTGTTTTTGTTTGTCTGTTAAATAAGATTGACTTTAAGTAAGTACAACATAGCCCAGCTGGTGTGGCTCAGTGCTGATTGAGCATCCCCCCATGGACAGAGAGGTCCTGGTTCGATTCCTGGTCGGCACCTGCCCAGGTTGCAGGCTCAATCCCCAGTGAGGGGTGTGCAGGAGGCAGCCAACTGATGTTTCTCTCTCACATCAATGTTTTTATCTATTTCTCTTCTTTCCTCTGCCTCTAAAAAAATCAATAAAAACATCTTTTTTAAAGAGGTGGGGGATGCTCTCCTTGGAAAATTAAAAAAAAAAAAAAAGTAGGTACAACATACAAAAATGAACACACTTTGTCCATCAGTCATCCTGATTGAACCTTACTAGCATCCCAGTGACATTGCCTGGTTATCCCCTGCAAAGGGTGACATTTATCCTGATTTCTGTCATCACAGACTAGTTTGCCTGTTTGTTTGTTTTTTCTTCATTGATTTTTTGTTTAGACAGAAAGGAAGGGAAAGGGAGAGAGAGATAGAAACATTGATGAGAGAGAACATCTTTTGGCTGCCTCCTACACGCCCCCGCTGGGGACTGGGCCAACAACCTGGGCATGTTTCCTGACCAGGAATCCAACTGGTGACCTCTTGGTTCATGGGTCGATGCTCAGCCACTGAGCCACACCGGCCGGGCGAGTGTCTGTTTTTGAACTTTGTGTCTAGCTTTTACTCAGCATTATGTTTGTGAACGTTACTCATGTTGTGTGTGGCGGTTTATTCATTCTCAGTGCTACACAGTATGGCTACACCATAATATATTTGTCTATATTGGATGTGTATTTTTCCAGTGCCTCCCCTTCATACTAATATTCACATTCAAAAACATACATACCCATTCATCCATTATGCTGCAGCTTGCTTTCCTCATGCAACATTTCATGGATGTCTTTTTAGGTCAGTTTTGGGTTTTTTTTAAAGCTTTATCTCTTCTAAATGACTGCTTATTATTTTATTGTATTGAGATACATGATTTATTTTGTCCCTCAGGTGAGCATCTGGGTTGTAGGAAGACATTTATTGACCACAGAAGTAGTTCGTAACGTAGTTGTTGATAGAATATGTTGCAAAACAATAAGTATGGTATAGTCCCAACCTTGTTGAAAAACAAAATAGCTACACAATTGTTAATATATAGCCATAAACCAAGGTATGCATCTTTTTCATTTTTGTTGTTAATCTTCACCTGAGGATATGTTTCCATTGATTTTTTTTTTTTTTTTCGATAGAGTGGGAGGGAGGGAGAGAAACATCTATGTGAGAGAGACACATCGATTGGTTGCCTCCCACATGATCCCACCTGGGGCCAGGGATTGACCCTCCAACCCAGGTACATGCCCTTGACTGGGAGTCAAATCTGAGACCCTTCAATTGCAGGCTGATGCTCTAACCACTGAGCAAAGGTGGCCAGAGCTCATGCATCTTAATTTCATTTTTCTTGGTCTTCCTCCTTTTTTTTTTGCTGACTATTATTGCTGTTGTAATGCAAACAAGAAAACACACGTATATTCACTTGAGTTGGTCATGTTAGGAGTCGTCTGGCCTGGTGCTTCTCTGAAGAAAACCACTGGTTGGGTTTGAATAGGTGGGATTTCCTTTTGTTAGCCCCTTGGGGTAGGAACTGAGGGTGGGGTGGTCACCTGCTCTGGAACCTTCTTGGTTACTCACGGGCCACCTCTTCTAGGCTAGCTTTGCTCCGATGGAGGACAAACTCAATCAGGCTCACCTCGAGGTCCAGCAGCTGAAGGCATCGGCTAAGAATTATGAGGGGATGATTGACAGCTATAAGAGTCAGGTATGCCTCTTAGCAGGCTGGGAGGTTAACCACGAGATCTTTCCTGGGAGGGGTTGGGTGTGGAAGTTTTCACCACAATTTAGCTCTGCCCAAGACACCCTGATGCTTTGTTGGTTCCTAGGTGATGAAGACCAGGTTGGAGGCTGATGAAGTGGCTGCCCAGTTAGAACGCTGTGACAAAGAGAACAAGATCCTTAAAGATGAGATGAACAAAGAGATTGAAGCGGTACTGCTCCCCTACCTTGCTTTCTTCCTCCCTCCAATGCTGTGTCTGTCAGTCTGTCCCTTGTTTGCCTTTGACCCTCCCTGGTGTGGACAACAAAGATTAACAAATGTTTTTACTGCTGGACTGATTCTATTGTCTACGTGCTTTTTTCTTTGTCTCATCTCTTCTTGCTTGTGCTTCTTTATCTCCTCCTCCCTCCTGGTTTTTCCTTTCTCCAATTTCCTTTAAAAAAAAAAAAAATCTCTCCTGCTTGAGCATCCAAGTAGATTCAAATCCACAGATATGCCATGTCTTAGGTGTGCCTATTTCGTTCTGTGTGGTGTCTTTATTTTATGCCATCCAGAAATGTGCCTCCCATCCTGTTCCCCAAAGAGCCTTATCTATTTATTTATTTTTTGTTAATTCTCACCCAAGGATATTTTCCCTTTGCTTTTAAGAGAGAGTGGGAGGGAGGGAGGGAGAGAGAGAGAGAGAGAGAGAAACATTGATGGGAAAGAAACACATTGATTGGTTGCTTCCCGCATGACTCTGACCAGGCCAGGGATGGAACCTGCAACCCATGTACATGTCCTTGACTGGGAATTGAACCTGAGATCCTTCAGTCTATGGGCCGACGCTCTAACTGCTGAGCCAAACCATCCAGGGCAAGAGTGTTGTTCTTGTAGAGATGGTTTGGCTGACTAGAAGCAAAGGGAATCATCTTAGTAGTAATCTTAGTGATAACCTTGGGCAAGTCACTGCCCTTCTCTAGTCCTCGTTTCCTTTTTTTAAATCCTCACTTGAGGGTAGTTTTGTATTTATCTTCAGAAAGAGTGGGAGGTGGTGGTGGGGAAACATCGATGAGAGAGAACATCGATTGGCCGCCTCCTGCATGCCCCACGCTGGGTATCGGGCCCACAACCTGGGCATGTGCCCTGACTAGGAATCAAACCAGCGACCTTTTGGTGCATGGGTCATTGCTCAACCACTGAGCCACACCAGCCAGGCGGTGGTTGTGTGAAGTAACTGAGTAATTCAGAGAGCCCTTAGCATAATCCCTGGGTCCTGGTAGTGTTATTTGAAGATGACTGGACACCGGCAGAAGGCCTGCGGGAGGGCAGGCTGCACTTTTTTACCTTTCAGTTGCTGGGCCCTTCCCGACGGTGGGCTTTTTCTCCCCCACTCCAGGCACGTAGGCAGTTCCAGTCCCAGCTGGCTGACCTGCAGCAACTGCCTGACATCCTCAAGATCACAGAGGCTAAGCTGGCAGAGTGCCAAGACCAGCTGCAGGGCTATGAGAAGAAGAACCTCGACCTCACAGCCATCATATCAGATCTGCGCAGCCGGGTAAGGGACTGGCAGAAAGGGTCCCACGAACTGGTCCGAGCAGGGTCCCGCTTACCAAGATGAGCTGCACGCCCCCCAAGGGAGGACCACTTCCTTTTTCTTGGCTGCCGTTTCCGAAAGGAGTGAGCTATCATCAGTGCTGTGAAATAAAAGTCTGGTGTGCCAAATGCCTCGTGTTTGCACAAAGTGATTATAGCTATAGGAGCCGTCACTCCCTGGAGTTGTTGGGCCCTCCTGCTGTTACCCTACCCCAGGGCTCCAAGTCTCCACCTGCCTCCGCCCTTCCTGCTCTGCAGCTGTCCTCAGCCACGCACCCACAGCACCAAGTCATAGGTGTTCTTTTCCATTGTTCTCTTGCTTTAGCTGCCTTCCCTACTCAACAGTGCCACTGCCTGAGATTCTGTCCTGAAAGAGAGCTCCCTTTCTCCCAGAAGCAATCTGCCTCTGGGGTACTGGAACTGTCCCTGCAATGCCTAAGAAATATATGCCTCTCATATGCAGTGTGACCTTGGGCAAGGCCCTTCCCCTCTCTCGATCTGCTTCCTGCTAATAATAATAAAAGTAGCAGCCATTATTTTGAGCACATGCCCTGCGCTCCACCATTCTCTCATTTAATTCTCCCTGGAACTTTGTGAGGTGCATTATTTCCCCGTTGTACAGAAAGCAGCCCAGGGCATAGAGGGGAGAAGTAATTTCCTGAGGTCACAGAGCTGATACTTAGTCAACAGTGGAACCCAGCCAGCTCTGGTTCCCAAGCCCATGTTCTCAATATCTTCAATTACCTGCCTTCTCTTGAACCTGAACATCGCAGGGCCTTGCAAGCCCAGATACCTGAGGCCTCTGTGTAAAGCATCCCTCTGGATATCTTCTCAAACTTGCCAGCCTGAAAGAATTGATAGCTTTCCTGTTGCCTTGCCTGCACTTCTCCCTGAGTAAGGGGAGAGTGAAATCAGCAGTACCAACAAAATAATCGGGGAAAAGCTCCCTGATGTGTCGTGTGGGCCTGCCATCTGCTTCTGCCTTCTCATGTCTGCCCTGGATCCTACTGAATGGCCCTCCTGATCAAGAAAGTGTCGCCGTGATTCTTCAGGATCAAACCTGGCTTCTCTCGGTGCAGGAAAGCCCAGAGTCTTGAGGGCTGGGCCTAATCTGTCCCTGCTGTCCTCTCTCCTCCAGGTTATGCTTTGAGACTTGGATGCCTGCTGAGGGCTGTGTGCCTCTCCTGGGTGTGGATTACAGGTCACAGGGAAAAGGGAGGGCCATACCAGAAGTTCCTTCGTAAACCAGTCTGTGTTCCTGTCATTTTAGATCGAACATCAGGGGGACAAGCTGGAGATGGCAAGAGAGAAACACCAGGCTTCCCAGAAGGAAAATAAACAGCTGAGTCTGAAGGTGGATGAACTGGAGAGGTTAGAGGCACTTGGTCCCATCTCTGTCCTCTTCCTAGGACCTGAGACTTTCAGCCACTTAGCTGCTTTGGGCTTAGTGTCCGGAAGTGTTTGAGGGACTCAAGGCCCTGGAAGGTACTAGGCAGACCTCAGAGGAAAAGTTGCTTTCATCGCAGTGGTAAGCATTGTGGGAAAGAGGAAGGTGATCTCCGGCCAGGGGTGACGCTCCAGAACAGTGTGGTCAATATCAGACCACCCAAAGGCACCACGTAAAAGGCACACTTTGTCCAAGCAAACCAGCAGGGCCTGTACGCTGTGGTGGGGAGTATTTTCTCCCCACTCTGCTCTGTGTTCTTGATCATTCCTTTTTTTTTTTTTTTTTCTTCATTGAATTTTAAGAGAAAGAGAGAGAGACATCGATGAGGGAGAACATCGATTGGCTGCCTCCTGCATGCCCCCCACTGGGGAATGGGCCCACAACCTGGGCATGTGTCCCGAGCAGGAATCAAACTGGTGACCTCTTGGTGCATGTGTCGATGCTCAACCACTGAGCCACACTGGCTGGGCTTGCTTTCTTTTTTTGTCTGGCTGGGCTTTCTTGATCATTCCTGAGACTATTCTGATTCTTCTGTTTCTTATGGATTGTTGGAGGCAGTCAGAGGTGAAGACTACACCTTTACAAATCAGAAGCCCTGGCTTTGGGTCCCATTATTTAATCCTTTTGAACCTCTGATTACTAATCTTGAGAAAAGAATCAAGGGAGGGAAAATAGTGTAGCTCATGGCGTTATTGTGAGTCTTCAGTCATAATCTTCAAAGGGCTCAGCACATTACCTGGCATACAGAAATGTACAGTATAGGTAGTGAGTAGTTGGTATTATCCCAATTTAAACATGAGGAAACTGAGCTCGGGGAGAGGTTAAGTGACTTGCCCAAGGTCACATAGCTGGTAACTGGCAAGGCTGCAATTAGCCCCTTGACTCTTCCTCCAGAGCTTCTAGCATCTGTAAAATGAGGGCTAGAGCCTTTGTTTCAGAGATGAAAGGACTGAGGTCCTGGGAGGCTGCAACTGCTCATGCAGCCTACAAGTAGAAACTTGAACCAGGTGGTCACCTGGGTTCTACCCCCAAATCTGCTTTGCTGGCCTCAAACATGCAGCTGGATTCAGCAGGACTTGCAGAGCTCCTTATATTGGAACACGTTCCAGAAGTGCAGTGAGGACTGTGCTTGCACATCGGGATAGTCACTGCTGCCCCATGGCTTGTCACACAAGGTACTGAGTGGTCCAGCTGAAGTCCCTTTGCTGAAGGAGGCAGCAGCGAACAGAAGAAGTTGAGGGCATGGGTTTTGGTGACAGGCCTATCAGCTGTGCTGACATTGGGTCAATAATTTCACATCTCTGAGGCTGAGTTGCTTCATCAGTAAAGGGGATGATAAGGGAACCCAACCTCCTGAGCTACCTACTGCTGTATTATGTGTGATGGTGTGCACACTTAGCACAGCCCTCTGTCAGGCTGTGCTTGCTTTTCCCGTTCATACAGTTCTCCAACCAGCTGCTCCAGTTGCAATTCCTTGCCGCCTGGCTATCAGCAGATTCCTTTGGTTTATTCCTGTGGCTCCTTGGAGATTCCCTGCGTGATGAGAGCCCTGGTCCAGGGGTGGCTGGCAGCCCCCTGGCAGGGTGGAACAGGACAGGTATGGGGATGAGCAGGATCTGATAGAATGCTTTCACCTAGGAAACTGGAGGCGACCAGTGCCCAGAATATCGAGTTCCTACAGGTGATTGCCAAGCGGGAAGAGGCAATCCACCAGTCCCAGCTTCGGCTGGAGGAGAAAACACGGGAATGTGGGACCCTGGCGAGGCAGTTGGAGAGCGCCATTGAAGATGCTAGGAGGCAGGTCAGTCTCAATTCCATTACTAACTAATTCTGTGACCTTGGGCAAATCACCTAACCTCCCTGAGCCAATGGGGATAGAGTAGTACCTGCCTCATGATTTCACCATAATGATCAAATGGGCAATTATTATAAAGGACTTGGCCTTGACTCATGAGTGCTCATTTAATTGTTGCCTGCCTAGGACTCAGGTGTGCCATGTCTTAGGTGATGACTTGTGGGGTGTTGGGAAAAGGCATATAAAGATGGTTGCTGGGTTCCCATAGTTATCTCCCATTCTGAGGCTCCAAAGAACTCTCCATGGTGATGTGCAAGTGTGGTCCTTGAGACCAGATAGTGGAGTGGGCCAGATGTTCACCCTGTCAAGTAGGCACTTCCACCTCTGTTCCTTCTGGGCAGGTGGAACAAACCAAGGAGCACGCTGTCTCCAAGGAACGAGCAGCCCAGAACAAAATCCTGGACCTTGAAACCCAGCTGAGCAGGACCAAAACTGAACTCAGCCAGCTGCGGCGGAGCCGTGATGATGTGAGTCGGGCTAGAGGGCCGGGGACAGAAAAGAAGGGAATGGATTGAGATTTTGGTTTTGAGGGGCCTGCACGGCAAGGTGTTTTATTGTTTTATGAACATGATATGGTTTAATTTTTCTACAATCATTTTCTCATCCCTGAAGGATATTCCAGGCAGATCCATTGTTTTATTAATGGCTTTGTTAAGACCGTTTACACACCATGAAATTCACTTTTTAAAAAAATATTTTTTTTTCTTTATTTATTTTAGAGTGAGAAAAAGGGAGAGGGAAAGAGATAGAAATCAGTCAGAGAGAACATCAATTGGCCGCCTCCTGTATGTGCCCTACTGGGGATTTGGCCCATAACCTGAGCATGTGCCTGACCAGGAGTCTAAACAGCGACCTCTTGGTGCATGGGTCGACGCTCAACCACTGAGCCACACTGGCCGAGCCCATGAAATTCACTTTTATACCTATTTAAATTGTATAATCCAGTGGTTTTTAGTATATTCAGAGAGTTGTGCAATCATCATCACAATCTAAGTTCAGGATATTTTCAGAAAGAAACCCTATACTCATTAGCAGTAACTCCCCACTCCCTTCCCCATCAGCTCCTGGCAATCACAAATAAAGTCTGTGTGTCGCTGTGGCCTTGTCTATTCTGAACTTCTCACACACGTACCCATGCTCCGTTTCTCCTCTTAGGCTGACCGCCGCTACCAGAGCCGGCTGCAAGACCTGAAAGATCGCCTGGAGCAGTCGGAGAGCACCAACCGCAGCATGCAGAACTATGTCCAGTTCCTCAAGTCGTCCTATGCCAATGTGTTTGGGGATGGTCCTTACACTACCTACCTGACCAGCTCTCCCGTCCGCTCCAGATCTCCTCCTGCCTGAGGCCGCAGTCTTGGGCCAGGAGCCGGATTGATGCCATGGGAACTGACGAGTTGCCAAGCCAAACCTGGAAAGCCTATTGGTTTTCCTCTCCCTTCCAGTGATGAAGTGTGTTCAGGATCTTGTCCTTAGCTACGGGCTGCATGGAAGTCCCTAAAGCAGCAGGGGATGAAGAAGCAGGAACCACTTAGTTCTTTCCTCTCTGCTAGAGTTACCTGATGGAAGTTTTTAATTATCTTGCCAGGCCTTAAATCCACTACTATGAGATAACAAAATTTTAACACACCATGACTTCACTTATTTGTTTCCCAAGAGAATGTTTGGACTGGACTTTTTCTTCCAGTCCCCTTACAGCCCTCTTTCTAGAAATATCTTTCTTAAGCATTCTCAGACCTGATCCAGCAAGAGCTGTAGAAGTCCTCACCACCCCTCTTGGGTTGTGAGCGTGTTCACTTCCTCTTTTCCTTATTTTATGGGTGCGGTGTTTTCACCAACCTCAGTGAAAACCTCTCATACTCGAGTTTCCTTGAGGTCACTTGCCCCCACACACTTCACAGTAGACACACAAGGGCTTACGTCCAGTTGGCCTTTCAAAAGTGTAATCCCAAGATCATTGATTTTTGTTTCTCTTTGTTGGGTTTGTATCTATGGAATGCATTTATCCTTGAAATATCTGTGTTGTTTTACAAAAAGTTTTTATAATCAATATTTAAGACTCCATGGATGATTTCCTTTACCTCCCCTCCCCTCCATCCCTCTTCTAAAAATGATTAAGTAAAATGCTGCATGGGAGCCAGTAAATATTTTTAAAGTGCATGGAATATTAGGCTTTTCATTTCATTTGGGGCCAGGTAGTTTCTTTGTGTGCTTTCTGTGAGATGACTGGGGGCATTGCTCATTGTTGGGGGGCAGATCACATAAGTGTTAGGAAGTAGATGAGATGTGTATATATTACTGGGCTTCTAGTTTTTTAAATCCTCACCTGAGGATATTTTTCCAAATATCTTCAGATAGAATGGGAAGGGGAAAGAGAGAGACACATCGATGCAAGAGAGACACATTGGCTGCCTCCCACACAACCCTGACCAGAGCCAGGGAACAAACCGCAACTGAAGTATATGCCCTTGGCCAGAATCAAACCTGCGACTCCTTGGTCCGCGGGCCGACACTCTAACCGCTGAGTCAAACCGGCCAGGGCTATATTACTGCTTTTTAAATGTGAACTGGTTTCTGAATAATATATTGACTATTTTTTGTTCTCTCCACATTTTTCATGTATTTAAAAGAAAGAACAATTTTAAAAAAATTGATCTTAGAAAGAGAAAAACATTGATCGGTTGCCTCCTGCACCACCCTAACCCTGGGATCGAACCTGCAACTTCGGTATGTGTGTTCTGACTTGGAATCAAACCCACCACCTTTTTGGTGTACAGGACAATACTCCAACCAACTGAACCACACCAGCCAAGGCAACAAATTCTTTACAGAAAACAAATTTGGTACTGTGCCGAACCCTAACCTTTTCATTCTAGCTGGTATTAGCCTTCTGGGTGATCCAGTCTTGCCCTCTCTCAGCCACTCTAACCCAAGTCCAAAACTCCCGAGAATTCTCCTATGTCCTCAAAGGCAGTGGGCCCCACCTGGGCATCTGAACTTCACGACCAGAAAACTGCCCCCCCATAAATTTTGGTGACATTTGTAGTTTCCACATGTTACTTTTGCCAAGGAAATTCTGAAGAAACAACTACCAGCTACCATTGCCACAAAGCCAAGCCTGTTTTCACACCCTTAACATTAAATGGACTTGACTTGCAATGTATGAACGACCTTCCCAAGAAAAGACAGTTGGCAAACTTATACCAAAGTGCATACCTATTTATATAATTCATTATTTACATCAAACCAATGAATAATACCTCAGTGCAAAGCACTGGTATTTATTTTTTTTCCTTTATTGATTTTTAGAGACAGAGAGAGAGAGAGAGAGAAACATCGATAAGAGAGAACATGAGTTGGCCGCCTCCTGCATGCCACCCACTGGGGTTCAGGCCCACAACCTGGACATGTGCCTTGACCAGGAATCGAACCAGCAACCTCTTGGTGCATGGGTCAATGCTCAAACAGTGAGCCACAGCGGCTGGGCATGTTTTCCTTTGTCCACAGAGAATTTGTGAGGGGGGAAAAATAAAAATAAAAATGTTTATATGGCTTCAAACTCCAGAGAGAAGCCTTCCTACCTCAAACTTGATCCTATAAAATGGGAAAAAGAGTCAAAAGTTAAAGGGTCCTAATTAAAGCTGGTTCTGGGTGATGGTGAATCATATTTATTAAAAAAAAATTTTTTTTCTTGATTGATTTTAGAGAGGAAGTGAGAGGGACAGAGAGATAGAAACATCGATGAAAGAGAACATGGACTGGCCTCCTGCGTGCTCCCCACTGGGGATTAGGCCCACAACCTGGGCATGTGCTGTGACCTAGAATCGAACTGGTGACCTCTTGCTGCATACATGGACACTCAACCACTGAGCCACACCGGCTGGACCATATTTATTTTTATTGATATTTACATACCATAAAATTCACCCTTTTAAAGTATATAATTTAGTGGATTTTATTCATTTTTTAATCCTCCCTCGAGGATTTTTTTTCCTATTTATCTTCAGATAGAGTGGGAGGGAAAGAGAGAAACATCAACTTGAGAGGGACACATTGCCTCCCACACGACCCCAACCAGGGCCCGAACGAACCATAACCGAGGTACGACACCCTCGGCCAGAATTGAACCCAAGATTCATTGGTCCATGGGCCAATGTGCTACCGCTGAGGCAATCCAGCCAGGGCTAAATTAATGGTTTTTAGTGTATTCACAAAGTTGTGCGACCATCACCATTATCTAATTTTACATTTTCATCACCCCCCAAAAGGCAGCCTTATTTATTATTCTTATTTTTATTTTTTTTAATCCTCATCCGAGGACATTTTTCCATTTTTTGTACAGACAGAATGGGAGGGAGAGAGAGGAAGAGAGAGAGAGAGAGAAACATCGATGTGAAAGGGACACATCGAGTGGTTGCCACCCGCACGACCAACCAGGGCCAGGGACAAACTGCAACCGAGGTACATGCCCTTAGCGGGAACCGAACCCGGGCCTCTCCGGACCGCAGGCGGACGCTCTAACCGCTGAGCCAAACCAGCCAGGGCGGCAGCCTTATTTATTAAGTAGCCACTCTCCATTGCCCTAGCCCCAGGCAACCACTGATACAGTCTTCATGTCTCTATGGATTTGTCATTCTGGACATTTCACATAAATGGAATTATACTATATATCACCTTTTGTCATTGGCTTCTTTGACTTGGCATAATGTTTTCAAGGTTCATCCCTATTGAAGCACGAAGTTCTACTTCATTTTTATGATACACCGTGTTATATTTATCCATCAGTTGACTACATTTGGGCTTCCATGTTTTGGCTATTCCGAGTAATGCTGCCATGAACATTCAACACGAATTTGTGTAGACGGGTAGTTAATTTCTCCCCGATGGACACCTAAGAGAATTGCCCCGTCAAATGGTAACTCCAACCTTTTTGAAGAAATGCCACACTCGTCCACAGTGGCTGTCATGTTTTAGAGTCCCACCAGCAGTGTGGGGGTGGTTCCAATTTCTTCACATCCTCATCAACACTACATATTAGAAAAAAAAAAACCCCAAAACTAGATATTCAACTTTCCATAAAGAGGAGGCTCAAGGCTTCAGAAGTACACTGGCCTGAAGTTTCCTGCTGGGTCGGGACCTGAGGGTCCAAACTCTGTGCGCAGGCGCGCGGTAGATCAAGCTCGGCGCCGGAAGTGGGGCGTACAGCCTTCCGCGGCGCTGTTGCGTTGTGCCCCCGAGTGCGCGCCCCGGAAGCGGAAGCTGCGCTCGTTTCCGGGCGGCCGATTCGAGGACTTGTTTACTTACGAGCGGCATCTCGGGAAAGCTGCAACAGGACGGGCCATGCCGTCCGAGGGTCGCTGCTGGGAGACCCTACAGGCGCTACGCAGTTCCGACAAAGGTCGCCTCTGCTACCACCGCGACTGGTTACTGAGGGGCGAGGTGAGCAATGGATCCCGAGGCGGCTGTGGCCCTCATCAACCCATCTCCACACCCCAGGTGATGATCACCTGGTCACAATGGTGTCTGCTAGATTATCTCCGCTTAAAACTCATCATTTTTTCTTTTTTAACTAATTAGTATTTTGTAGGGAGGTATTCCAAGATTGCACCAATGTGTATCTTTTTTTATCATCAGAACTCCTCCACCCTTAGCATTTATTGATGATTTCTGAATAAGTCACCTCTGTGATGTAGCCAAATGGTGTGTTTTTATATCCACCATTCCTTCTACACTTGTTGATTGGCATTCTACCAAAGTGGAGGGCTTTCTCCTCCCACCCCCCTTTTTAAAAAATATTTTTGCTTTATTGATTTCAGAAAGAGGAAGGGAGAGGGAAAGAGATAGAAACATCCATGAGAGAGAACATGGATTGGCCGCCTCCTGCATGCCCCCACTGGGGATTTGGTCCACAACCTGGGCATGTGCCCTGACTGGGAATTGAACTGGTGACCTTTTGTTGCATGGGTTAGCTCACAATGCTGAGCCACACCAGCTGGGCTCCCCTTTTAAATTAATTGTATCAGTATGGACTCATGGGTTCTTTTTTTTTTTTTTTAATTTATCTTCATTGTTGAAGTTATTACAGATATCCCTCCTTTTTCTCCCCATTAACAACCTCCTCTTTGCCTTCACACTGTTGTCTGTGTTGGACTTACCTGTTCTTACTTGATGCATTGTAATCCACTGCTTGGAACCTTATGCATGTGTATTTTCATTTTGTGGGATGTATATCTTCAGGATAAACTTGTAGAAGTGAGATTGCTGGGCCAAAAAGTAAACATAGATGTACTTTGGTTATATATTGCCAAATTACCCCCAAAAGCGGTGTAGCAGTTCGTTCTCCAATCAGCAGTGCATGATTGTGCCCCGCTGCTGACAGACAGCCTTGTCAACAGAATGTATCACTATACTTTTAAATTTTGTTTATGTAATTGGTAAACATAAAGTCTCAGTGTAGTAATGCATTTCTCTTTGATTTATTGAGATTGAATACCTTTTCATATATTTAAGAGTCAGCTTTATATCTTTATGAATTGCTTGTCTGTATCTTTTGCTCATTTTTTTATTGGGGTTTTGTTCCCCTAATTTTTACAAGTTCTTTATGTATTAGGAATAATAATAGACCTTTATATGTGACATATATTACATGTATTTTTTCTGGTTTGTCAGTTTAATTTTTTTCTCTGTTTATGGTATTTTTTGTGTGGTTTTGTCACATTTGAAACTTTGCCCCTGGATTTTATTTTGATGTCTGAATGAGTAAAAAGGTGTTGTCTCAACATTGTTTCTAATATGTCTTTAAAATGAGCCTCATAGCCCTGGCTGGTTTGGTTCAGCGGTTAGAGTGTCAGCTGGCGGACCAGAGAGGCCCGGGTTCGGTTCCTGCTAAGGGCATATACCTCAGATGCAGTTTGTCCCTGGCCCCAGTTGGGGTTGTGTGGGTGGTGACCAGTCTATGTGTCTCTTTCACATAGATGTTTCTCTCTCTTCTTCTCTGTCTCCCTTCCACTCTATCTAAAGATAAATGCAAAAAATAAATAAAATAAAATAAAATGAGCCTCATAATTGTGCATCCAGCATTTTGCTTCTGTATTCAGATTTTTTGCCATGGGTTGAATATATTTTTATTTGTTATCGTCACCCGAGGACATTTTTGCATTTCTCTTCGTATAGAGCGGGAGGAAGAGAAGGAGAAAGAGAGGGAGAGAAACATCAATGTGAGACAAACCGCAACCAAGGTACATGCCCCTAGCGGGAACGAAACCCAGGACTCTGATCTGCAGGCCGATGCTCTAACAGCTAAGCCAAACCAGCCAGGGCAGGTTGAATATCTTTTTATTGTATGTGGGATGTGTGCCTATAATCAAGATTAGGATTTCTCAACCACAGCACTAACATTTTGGGCTGGATGATTCTTTGTTGGGGTGGGGACTGCTGTTGCTGTCTTCTGCATGGTAGGAGGATTAGCAGCATCCCTGGCCTCTCATCCACTGGATGCCAGTAGCACCCTCCCAGTTGTCTCCAGATAGTGTCAAATGTTTCCTGGGGGCTAAAATCGGCCCTGTTTGAGAACCACTGATCTACCTAATAATAGCTTACAGTTTTTGAGTAATTGTGTGCCAAGTACTGTTCTAAGTCCTTTAATATTCATTTAAACCCCTCCCCACCTCAAATCTGGAATACAGGTAGATCCTTTATTCAATTAAAAAATTATGTATTTATTTTTTTATTTTAGAGAGAAAGAAACGTCAGTGTGTTGTTTCACTTATTTATGCATTCATCGGTTGATTCTTGTATGTGCCCTGACCAGGAGTCGAACCCTCAACCTTTGGATATTGGGATTGATGCTCTAACCAACTAGGCCAGGGCCTCCTTTATTCCATTTTAAAAGTGATGAAGCTGAGTCACAGAGAGGTTAGGTGACTTGCCCGAGGTTTTACAGGCAAGTGAAATGCAGAGATGGAATTCAAACCAAGAAAGGCTGGTTGTAAACTTAGTGCTCTTAATCACTGGTATACTGTTTTCTCCGTATTTCCAGGCAATATTTTCCTGACATTTAGTAAAGTTCTCAGCCAAAGTTTGCTGTGTACTTCAACTGCAGTTCAATGGTATAAGTTTCTCTGGTTTAAAGCACTGTTCACTAAATACATAGAGATAATATAATGGTTAACTGGTACAGTTGAATAAGTTGTCCACACACATATTGGAGAGTGTTGAGGATTTATTTTATAATCTTTCTATTACAAATCCCATTTTATTTAAGCCATTGGCTTTTACATCAGTAACTACTTTTCAGTGTCTGTTATTTACATTTTAAAAATTATGACATGTTCAGTAAAAAATATAGTACATAAAATTAGAATAAGGAGAAACATGTCACTCATTACCCAAGCATAACTTCTAGTATATTTCTTTCATGTTTTTAGTGTAAGGGCATTTTTTTAAATGTAATTGTATTTATCCTCTTGTTTTTTTCACTTAAAATTGAATCTTTAGATATTACTACGTAGGATTCACAATCAGTAATTTTTTTTCTAAGTTTTACTTTTTTTATTATATTTTTTGGTACGTGCCCCTAGCAGGAACCGAACCCAGGACTCTCTGGTCCGCAGGCTGACGCTCCAACCGCTGAGCCAAACCAGCCAGGACAATCAATCAGTATTTTTAATGACTGATGTTTCTCTATGTATACTATAGTTTACTTTACAATTCTTCTTGTGTTCTTTTCTGTTCCAGCTCTTTTTTTTTTTATCCTCACCCGAGGACATTTTTCCATTTTTTGTTCAGATAGAGTGGGAGGGAGAGAGAGGAGAGAAACATCGATGTGAAGGGACACATCGAGTGGCTGCCACCCGCACGACCAACCAGGGCCGGGGACAAACTGCAACCGAGGTACGTGCCCTTAGCGGGAACCGAACCCGGGTCTCTCCAGACCGCAGGCGGACGCTCTAACCGCTGAGCCAAACCGGCCAGGGCCTGTTCCAGCTCTTTACATTTTTTTTGCATGTGCTTTAATGACCATCTTTGTGCATTGTTTCTTTTACTGTAGTTAGGGTTATTTAGTCTGATACTCGAAAAGGATAATAGCCCTGGCTGGGTGGCTCAGTTGGTTAGAGCATCGTCCCCTATGCCAAAAGGTTGCAGGTTTAATTCCTGGTCAAGGCACATGCCTAGGTTGCGGGCTTGATCCCTGGTTGGGGTGCATACAGGAGACAGCCAGTTGATGTTTCTGTCTTTTCTCTCATATCAATATCCTAGGGTGAGGATAAAATTATATATATATATTAAAAATTAATAAAAGGAGAATAGGGTCATTATCAAGAAACTACTTTCTCTTCATTGCTGATTGTTAATACAATTACTTTGGGTCTTTGGTGTGTGTGTGTGCTTAGATTTTCAGTAAGGCATGTAGTGGATTGTCTTTGATTGGATAGGTCGGTTGACATGCAAGTTGAGCTTAACCTCTTCTTTTCTCTAGGATGTTTTAGAAGAATGTATCTCTATTCCCAAGCTATCTTCTTATGCTGGATGGGTGGTAGATCATGTCCTGCCCCATTCACAAGAGAACCTATCTCCCTCTGAGACTTCAACATCCTCTAGATCTACTTCAGGCCTAGACCAACCTTCATTTGTTCCCAGATCTCCCATCAGAAGCCTTACCTTCTCACCAGCATCCCCAGGAACACCACCACCAACAAATGGAACCAAGGTAAGATTTTTAATCAGCTGAAGAGAAAAGACAAGGGTGGTTGCAAAGTTGAATTGTGTAACATTGTTATATGACAGTGACCATACCCTTGAGAAAATAATGATTTCTTATAGCTTATAGCTATTTGTAGTGACAGTGTTCACCACATCACCCATTGTTCTCTTTATGAAGACCGAGAATAGTAATTAATGTCATGAGCAATGAGATTTTTTTCAGCCTTGTCAAAACAAGGCCACTAAAAATTTGATTGCCTCCCCCCAAAAAATGGGAGAGAGAGAGAAGATGTATTTTATTATTTTCTAATCCTCGCCCAAGGACATTTTTCCATTCTTTTGTTCAGATAGATTGGGAAGGAGAGCGAGGAAGAGAGAGAGGAACATCAACGTGAAAGGGACACATTGGGTGGCTGCCTCCCGCACCACCCAACCAGGGCCAGGGGCAAACTGCAACCGAGATACGTGCCCTTAGCGGGAACCGAACCTGGGTCTCTCTGGACTGCAGGCTGATGCTCTAACTACTGAGCCAAACTGGCCAGGGCAAGAAGATGGATTTAAAAAAAATTTTTTTTAATTGATTTTAAAGAGAGAGGAAGTGAGAGGGAGAGAGAGGTAGAAACGTCATTGAGAGAGAACATCGATTGGCCATCTCCTGCATGCTCCCCACTAGGGATCAGGCTCACAACCTGGGCATGTGTCCTGACCGGGAATCGAACCTGTAACCTCTTGGTGCATGGGTTGATGCTCAACCACTGAGCCACACCAGCCAGACTGAGCATCTTCTTTTGAGAAATGTCTTTGCAAGAGTTGTCCTAAAGAAATAGGAATTTATGCCCTGGCCAGTTTGGCTCAGTCGTTAGATGGTCGGCCTGTGGACCATAGAGTCCCGGGTTCGATTCCCGCTAAGGGTACATACCTTGGTTGCATTTTGTCCCCGGCCCCTGTTGGGGTCGTGTGGGTGGCAACCAATTGATGTGTCTCTCTCACATCGATGTTTTTTTCTCTCTCTTCCTCTCTCTCTCCCTCCTGCTCTATCTGAAGATAAATGCAAAAAATGTCCTCGGTAAGGATTAAAGAAAAACAAAAAAGGAATTTACTATACAGTAAATAATGATTCTGAAAAGGAATCTAGGACAGAGATGATAATTCATATTATAAAAGACTGTATGGTCTGTACATGGAAAGTTTAATTTTTAGCATTTTATATTTAAAAATATTAGTCATTAAAAATATTTCTAGTCCAGCCCTGGCCGGTTTGGGTCAGCGGTTAGAGCGTTGGCCTGCGGTCCTGAGAGACCCGGGTTCGGTTCCCGCTAAGGGCGCGTACCTCGGTTGCAGTTTGTCCCCGGCCCTGTCGGTTGTGCAGGTGGCGGCCACTCGATGTGTTCCTTTCACGTCGATGTTTCTCTCTCTCTGTTCCTCTCTCTCCCTCCCACTCTACCTGAACAAAAAATGGAAAAATGTCCTCGGGTGAGGATAAAAAAATATATATATATTTCTAGTCCAGCTGGTGTGGCTCAGTGGTTGAGCATCGACCCATGCACCAAGAGGTCGCCGGTTCGATTCCCAGTCAGGACATGTGCCCAGGTTATGGGCTGGATCCCTGTTGGGGGGCATGCAGGAGGCAGCCAGTCACTATTCTCTCTCATCGATGTTTCTATCTCTCTCTCCCTCTCCCTTCCTCTATCTCTAAAATCAATAAAGAAAAAAATTTTTTTTAAAATATTTCTAGCAGTTAAACATCATAGGTAAGAAAGTGAACTTTAGTCTAACTTCACACCTTACATAAAAATTAACTCAGAATGATCACAAACTTAAATGTAAAAAACTATAAGACTTTTAGAGAAAAAAAATCAGAACTTAGGACTATGTGAAGAGTTTTTAGGTTTGGCACCAAAAACACAATCCGTGAAAGAAAATATTGATAAGTTAAATGTCATCAAAATGAAAACCTTTGCTGTTTGAACACCCCTATGAAAATGATAAAAGGACAGGCTATTGACTGGGAAAAAACAGTTGTAAAACTACATATTTCACAAGGGTTTTGTGCCTGGAATGTATAAATAAACTCTCAAAACTCCAAGGCTTAAAAAACACTTTCCCTCTGGGTAGCTTAGTTGGTTAGAGCATTGCCCCTATACACCAAGGTTGCGGCTTCGTTTCCCGGCCAGGAATCAGGGTACATACAAGAAGCAACTGATGAATGCGTAAAGAAGTGGAAGAACAAGTGGATCTCTCTTTCTCTCTCTCCACCCCTTCTCTGTTTCTTTAAAATCAATAATTAAAAAAAAAAAAAAAACACTTTCCAACCTTCAGTTAGAAAATGGGCAAGATACGAACAGACATTTCTCTTAAGATAATGTACAGATGGCACGTGAGTGCCTGAAAATATGTTCAACATCACTAGTGATTAAGGAAGTACAAATTAAAGCTAGAATGAGGTAGTACTGCACACCTCAGAACGCTTCAGATGAAGAGTAGCCACAGCAGATGCTGGGAGTGATGGGACTCAGGTCACTCATGCATTTTGGGTGGGAATGTAGAATGGCACGTACAGCACTTGGGAACTTAGTTCCGCATTTTCTTAAAAACTAAACATCCCACTAACCAGATGCCCTATCAGTTGTACTCCTGGGCATTTTTCCCAAAGAAATAAAAACTTACATTCACATAAGAAGATCTGTGCACCCATGTTCATAGCAACTTTATAATATCCAAAAACTGGAAACAACTAAATGTCTTTCAACAGATGACTGTTACACTGTGATACATCTATACCACGGAATACTACAAGCAGTAAAAAGCCAATCTCAAAAGGTTATGGACTGTATGATTTCATCTATTTAACACTTAAAATAAGATCGTTATAGGGATGGAGAGCAGATTAGGGGTATAAGGTAGGTGTGCCACAAGGAAGCTTCACAGTGATGAAACAGTTCTGGACCTTGGTTGTGATGGTTACACGAATCCATAGAACTATGCACATATACAAATGAATGCCTATAAAACTGGTGAAATTACAATAAATTCTGTGGCTTATCAATGTCACTTTACTGTTATTTATATTTTACTGTATTTATGGAAGATGTTACTATTGGGGAAAACTGGATGAAATATACACAGTACCTCCCTATACATATTTTTACAACTTCCCGTGAATTAGAATTATTTCAAAAAAATTTTAATGTTTCTGTGAGAAGCTTCTCAGCATCAGCAGGTTCTAGTTCTGATCCTGCCAATATTGAGGCATACCCTTGGGCAGCCATCTTTCCCTCCCTGTAGGTCTCAGTTATTTTAAAATCCAAATCTGGTATTGGATTAAATTGCTGAGATTCTCTCTAAGTACAAAGTTACATAATTTTTGAGGTTTTCATAAAGTTTTGGATAGCTTTATATAATGGATTGTTGTATCATTTAGGAATTTTTTATGTTTAACAAACTCAGTTTAAACTAGCTTAAGCAAAAGGGGTGGGGATGGGGAACAAGAAATTAATTAGTTCATATAACCAGGAAGTCTAAGTGCATTTGGAATCAATTAGATCTAGAGAATCTGTATTCTTTTCTAATATTTTTTTTTTTTAAGAGTGAGGGAGAAACAGCCATGTGAGAGTGAAACATGTCAGCTGCCTCCTGCATGCCCCCTACTGGGGTTCCAGCCCACAGCCTGTGCCCTGATAGGGAATCGAACTGACAGCCTTTCAGTGCACAGGAAAGAACCCAACTACAGAACCACACCAGCCAGGGCAATGATGATCTGTTTTCTGTATTTCTCTGTTTGACATTATTTCTGACTTGCTCCAGTGACCCAGACAGGGCTTTGCCTTTCTAGCTCTCAATTCTGCCTGACTCGTTTTCATTTCATTTTCCAGAAAGACTCAATATGGCAAGACGGCTGTTGGTAGCCCCAGACACACGTCTTCTTAAATTAGCATCCCCAGAAAAGAAAGCCTTCCTAGATAGCTTCCTCGGAAATTCAAAGGGGACTGTGGCCTAGCGTGACTCTAAGCCTCGTTGCTGAAGTAGATACTGGCTACAGAAGGCTAGAGGGCTTCACAAGCTGGTCACATACTTATCCTGAGGCCAGGAACGTGGAGGGATTGGGGATGTGGATTGGGGTTGCTCCATCTAACCATCCTAGCACAACTGGACGGAAGAAAGGGGAAGAATGTGCTGGGCACATCAAAACAAACGAGCAAGCAGATAAGAAGCTGATGTTTGTTGTGCTTCGGGCATTTCTTTTTCTTAAGGAAAACAATTATAACAAGGTCAATATCATGAAAAACACACTAGTTCTAAACCTAATTAGTTTTGTTTTTGTTGTTTGTAAGTAGAGATGTGGTTTTTGTCTGGAAGGGATAACACCGACTATATAGTTGGCCCTCGCAGTTAATCAGTTCCAGACTCTACCGCGATAAATGAATTTCCACGAAGTAGGATTCTTTATTTACACAGTCGTCCCTCACCACCTCGCACTTTGACGGTTGTGGCTTCACTCTATCACGGTTTTTTCAAACATAGTATAGTATATTATCAAATATAGTATAGTATTTGGAAAAAACGTGATAGAGTGAAGCCATGAACGTCGAAGCGCAAAGTGGCGGGGGACGATTGTACCATTTTTAAAGTTTAATTTTTCCTTCTTCTGTCTAAATAGGACAAACATGAGTCCCATCATACAGAACCTTTGGCACTTCAGTCCTCCAGGGGCATCAAAGTGGAAGGCTGCATCCGAATGTATGAGCTGGTACACAGAATGAAAGGAACAGTAAGTGACCCACGAAGCAAGGCAGGCCTGACCACGGGGAGCCACGTTTACATGCAGTCCCTTAGGGTTTATGAATGTCCACTGTATGCTGATCGCCGTGCCCAACTTAGGACTAGCAGTTCCTCTGTACCGCAGGCCGACGCTCCAACCGCTGAGCCAAACTGGCCAGGGCGGACTAGCAGTTCCTATTCGTTTGTGGAGATGGTATAATGTAGCAGTCCAGAGTTAGCTCTCTGAAGTCAAATCTGGTTTCAAATCCTCACTCTTCTGCTTTACGTGTGGCTTTGGGACTTTTCTAAGTGGAGGTGGGGGTATCTAGGCAGAGGTGATGCCATGAGGAAAGGAGTGAGATGGAAATGCACATGGCAGGTTTACGGTGTTGGAGTAAGGATTTTGGTAGGTTTCCCTGAAACCCTCATAAGCATACACAGGAGGAAGCTTAAAGGTGCAGGGTTATTTGATACTGGGGTGGTAAATACCTGTCCCTTCCCAGCTTTTACTGGGGTGACATAAACCACATTGGGGCAAGTTGGAAGAGCTTTCCGGAACACTGAGTTTGACGGGTAAGTGAGCAAGGTGGCCGTGCAGCTCCAGAGAGCATGCGCTGATCCTTTCCAGGAGGGCCTGAGGCAGTGGCAGGAGGAGCAGGAGAGGAAGGTGCGAGCCCTCTCTGAGATGGCGTCCGAGCAGCTGAAGCGGTTTGATGAACAGAAGGAACTGAAGCATCATAAAGAATTCCAGGACCTGAGGGAAATGATGGAGAAGAGGTGAGTGTCCCTGAACTGCGACTGGAAATGTCAAGATGGTCGGTCAGCTGCAGCTCTTTCCCATCAGAAAACCCGCAAGGAGAGAGCTTCGCAACTTCTGAGTCTAACTATCAAAATAAAACAGACAGAGAAGCTGCTGACCCAGTAAAATGACCAACTTTGTTTTTTTGTTTTTTGTTTTTGTTTTGTTTTTTCCTCACCTGAGGACATTTTTCCATTTTTTGTTCAGATAGAGTGGGAAGGAGAGGAAGGAAGAGAGAGAGAGAGACAGAAAGAGAGAGAGAGAGAAACATCGATGTGAAAGGGACACATCGAGTGGCCGCCACCCACACGACCCAACCAGGGCCGGGGACAAACTGCAACTGAGGTACGTGCCCTTAGCGGGAACCGAATCCGGGTCTCTCTGGACCGCAGGCCGACGCTCTAACCGCTGAGCCAAACTGGCCAGGGCCAAAATGACCAACTTTGGAAAGACGACCAGTGTCTCACAGCAAGGGAGGCTTTTAGGGGAGAGAACAGTTCAAGGAAGCATCCCTGACCGAGTCTCCCTGCCATTTCTCATTCAGCTCCAGAGAAGCCCTGGGGCAGCAAGAGAAGCTGAAAGCTGAGCATCGGCACCGAGCAAAGGTCAGAGCCTGGGAGGGTCCGTGTGCGTGTTTCAGGGTCTGGCTGGAACCTGCCAAAGAGGCAGTTCTGGCACAGTTGTGGGGACCTGGCCCCCTCTTTCTTCTGACTGTCGCTGGGCAGTCCTTTTCCTGCTCTGGGCCCATCTGTGAAAATATGTAGCTCACAGATAGGACTTGAGGATGTAGAAGGAGGAGGCCCAGGAGCCCCTCAGAGGTAAGTTGACAGCCCTTTCTGCAGATTCTCAACCTGAAGCTGCGGGAGGCAGAGCAGCAGCGCCTGAAGCAGCTGGAGCAGGAGCGGCTCCGGCGGGAGGAAGGCCAGGTCCGCCTGCGGAGCCTCTATGCCCTGCAGGAGGAGCTGCTGCACCTCAACCAGCAGCTGGACCCCTCGAACCAGCACAAGGACCCGCTGAAGGTGGACCTGTCGGCCTTCCAGACGCGAGGCAACCAGCTGTGCGGCCTCATCTCGAGCATCATTCGGGCCACTTCAGAGGTGAGGGGGCCTCGGGGCCACATGTGGTTACTGAACACTTGAAATGTGACTAGTGAGACTGAAAAGTTGTATTTTAATTCAAACACTTTTTTGCCCTGGCTGCTTTGGCTCAACGGTTGGAGCATCGACCTGCAGACCAAAGGGTCTCAGGTTTGATTCCCAGTCAATGGCATGTACCTGGGTTGCAGGTTTGATCCCTATCCCTGGTCAGGGTTGTGCAGGGGGCAACCAACCGCTGTGTCTCTCTTACATCGATGTTTCTGTCTCTTTCTTTCTCCTCTCCCACTCTATCTAAAAAAATCAATGGGAAAAATATCCTCGGGTGAGGATTAACAACAACAACAAAAACCCACTTTTAAAATAAATTAATTTAATCGTAAATAGCAACACGTGGCTACCTTACTGAACAGCGCAGGTGTAGAGGCTCTATCAGGCTTGTATCGGATTGTTTTGGCCCAGGAGAACTCTGTAGTAGGTAGGTAGCGTGCACTTGTTTTTGCACCACGTCAGAGGCATGTTGGATCCAATGGTCTTCCCACTTGGGATATTAAGGTGGACCAGCGGCTTCAGATACTGTCAGCCCTGTCTTCCCTGCATGCCTTTAGCTAGTGGTTCAGTGCCCATTGCTGCCCTTATTCATTAGGGATGATAGATTTTAAGTTTTTCCATTTTTATCATTCTTTCTGGAATTCAACTACAAAGAAGAAATGTTTCCCATAAACTGTTTATCTTGAGGTATAGTCTATATAGGAAAGAAAGGATAAATATTTGATTCTTGTCTGGCCATTGTGGCTCAGTGGATTGAGCGTCATCCCATGGACTGAGAGGTCCTGGTTCAATTCTGGGTCAGGGCACATTGGGCTCGATCCCCAGTAGGGGTTGTGCAGGAGGCAGCCGATCCATGTTTCTTTGTTTCTTTTTTTTTTCATTCTCACCTGAGGAAATTTTTCCATTTTTTGTTCAGATAGAGTGGGGGGGGGGGGCATTGACGTGAAAGGGACACATCGAGTGGCTGCCTCTTGCACGACCCAACCAGGGCTGGGGACAAACTGCAACCAAGGTACATGCCCTTAGCGGGAACTGAACCCGGGTCTCTCTGAACTGCAGGCCAACGCTCTAACCGCTGAGCCAAACCAGCCAGGGCCAAGTTTCTTTTTCACATCGATGTTTCTATCTCTCTCCCCCTTCCTCTCTTTCTAAAAAAAAAAAAAAACCAATAAAAACATATTTAAGTCCGGCCAGTGTGGCTCAGTGGTTGAGCATCGACCCATGCACCAGGAGGTTGCCAGTTCGATTCCTGATTGGGACACATGCCCAGGTTGTGGGCCTGATAGCCAGTGGGGGCATGCAGGAGGCAGCCAGTCGATGTTCTCTCTCATTGATGGTTCTATCTTTCTCTCCCTCTCCCTTCATCTCTCTCTAAAATCAATAAAGGGAAAAAAAATTTTTTTGAATATTTGATGTTTTTCCTGATAAGTTTTCAGAATAATGAGTTGCTTTGCTAGCTTTCTCCTACAGTGACTTGTGAGGATTTTTCATTTTTAAACTCTCACTAAGAACTTACTAATTTAGCCTTGGCTGGTTTGGCTCAGCGGTTAGAGCATCAGCCTGTGGTCCAGAGAGACCCAGGTTCGGTTCCCGCTAAGGGCACGTACCTCGCTTGCAGTTTGTCCCCGGCCCTGGTTGGTCGTGTGGGTGGCAGCCACTCGATGTGTTCCTTTCACATCGATGTTTCTCTTTCTCTCTTCCTGTCTCTTTCTCCCACTCTATCTGAACATAAAATGGAAAAATATCCTTAGGTGAGGATAAAAAAAAGAAAAGAACTTATGAATTTAGGGGGAAAAAAGATAAATCACTGTACTTCCATCCCATTAATGGAAAGAGGAACAAAGGACAGGACAAACAGTGTATAAAAGCACAAATGTAATTGTCTAATAAGTTAGAAAATAACTTCAGAATCATCATTAATACATGGAATGCAGATGAAAACACCATATCATTTTTGTCTAGACTACTGTCACAAATGTTTAAAAAGTTATTCCACACTGTGTTGGTGAGTGGATTTTGATGGTAAATTGGTATTACCTTTATGAAAACAGAAAAGCAGTACGTATCAGTGTGTTGATAAATACTACAACATCGCCCTGGCTGGTTTGGCTCAGCACTTGGAGTGTTGGCCCGCAGACCGAAGGGTCTCAGGTTCAGTTTCCAGACAAGGGCACGTACCTGGTTTGCAGTTTTGATTCCCGGCCTGGGTCGGGGTCATTCAGGAGGCAGCCAATCAATGTGTCTCTCTCACATCAGTGTTTCTCTCTCTTTCCCTCCCTTCCTTCCACTCTATCTAAAAAAAGGAAATCAGTGGAAAAATATCCTTGAGTGAGAGTTATCGACAACAAAAAAATAGTGCCACATTAATGCAACAGTTCCAGTTGTAGAAATGTGTTGATTTGTGTAAGGTATGACTCAGCCCCACAGGCTGTCTGGGCATAACTCCAAAGCTCTGCCCCTGTCGCCCTGACAGAACGGCTTTCCCACGGCGGAGGACCAAGCTGTGGCCGAGAGGGCGCTGCAGGAGATGTGGGACCTCCTGACGAGTGCCAAGGCCTGTGAGGACAAGAGGCGGCAGGATGAAGAGGAGGCCCAGGTGAAGCGGCAAGAGGCACAGATGCAGCAGGGGCCAGAGGTCCACAAAGAGTGCCCCGCCCCCAGCCAGGGCCCAGGAGGGAAACAGAATGGTGAGTTGTGGTGTCAATAAGATCTTTGAACTTGTTCTAAGTTTCAGCATGTAGAAAGGAGCAGGAATGTCTTTTGGCTATTAAGCTACAGAAAAATTTGCCAGAACTTTTACATAACGTAAAATTCAATTCTGTTACTGAAATTATGTTTAGTTTTGGTTGATGTGGAGCCTGACTACAGATTCCAACACTTTCCATGAGGACTTGGAGTTCTGTGTGATTCTAGTAGATGTATCATTCCAAGTGTTGCTGCTGCTGGGTATTTTAAATAAATATGTACCAGATACATGTTTGTTAAAGCATAAGAGAATCTCCCTGGCCGGTTTGGCTCAGTGGTTAGAGCGTTGGCTCGCGGCCCGGGGAGTCCCAGGTTCGAGTTCCGCTAAGGGCATGTACCTCGGTTGCGGTTCATCCCCGGTCCCAGTTGGGGTTGTGTGGGTGGCAACCAATCGATATGTCTGTCTCACGTGGATGTTTCTTTTTCTCTCTTTCTCCCTCTCTCCCTCCTGCTCTATCTGAAGATAAATGCAGAAAAATAAAATAAAATTTCCTTTAAAAAAAACAAGAGAATCAATAAAGCGTAATGGTCGAGAATATTGGCTTTGGAACCAGATCAATGTAGATCTAGTTTTCCTGCTTCCTAGCAATGTGACCTTGGCAAACTAGTTAATGTTTTTGTATCTATTTATCTATAAAATGAAGATAATAATAGTATCTACTTCGTGGGGTTATTATGACAGTAAAAGCAGTTAATACATGCATGAGGTGATTAGAACACTTCCTGGTTCACGCAAAGTGCTCAGTAAATACTAGCTATTATGAGAACCTCTTCATTCCTCAGGCCTCCAGGTGAAGGTACAAGACAGTACGATGCAGTGGTACCAGCAACTGCAGGAGACCTCCAGTCAGTGTGTGCTAGCCTTTGAGGGCCTGACCAGCAGCAAAGACAGTCAGGTAGGAAGGAGTGTAAGCTGGGAATTCTGTGGGTCTCATAGTGCTCTGAACAGCCTCGTGTCCCAGAGGTACATAGCTGGCGTGTCACATTCCCTAATCCTAATGGCATCTACTCAGCTCTTCAGAAAGCTATCTGCCTTCTCACTGTTCTCTTCTTGCAGATCAAAAAGATAAAGATGGACCTCCAGAAGGCTGCCACCATCCCAGTGAGCCAGATCTCCACGATTGCAGGTTGGTCCGAGCAGTTAAGGACATGGCCTTTCAGTTTGTTTTATTATTTCCTAAGACTCCAAATCTACTCGTCTGTGAGGTTCCTATAAACAATAGGTGGACCACACGTTGACAGTTGTCAGGTGTATAATAGGTATACATACGCATCCTCTTTTATTCTTCTTTGTTTCCTCTTTGGCATGTAGATATTAATCATTATGTGTTTTTTGACTCATTTTAAAAAATAAGCTGTACATATATATTTTTATTTATTGAATTCAGAGAGGGAGAGAGAGATAGAAACACCAATGAGTGAGAACATCAGTTGACCACCTTCTGCTTGTTCCCCACGGGGGATGGGGCCCACAACCTGGGCATGTGCCCTGACCCGGAATCAGACAGCGACCTCTTGGTGTATGGGTCAACGCTCAACCACTGAGCTACACTGGCCGAGCAAAAATAAGCTGTATATTAACAGTAAATCATTGAAGGTGGCTCTTACCTAAAATGGTAAGTTGCTGCAGAAAGCATCACTAAGGGAACCTAGGACATGGCTCGTATTCTTGGCTTTTGTTCTACATCAGCCTTTCCAGACTTGAAACCTGCCCCGCGGTACTTTAGAAGTCCTTCCTTTCTCTCCAGAGACTGGGATTTAGAGAGTAGGAACCAGACGGGAAAGACCCTTCTTCCTTTTTTCTTTAGAAACAGGTTTGTTTTCTATAGAGCTCTGGATGTGGGAGCCTCCAAATGATAGACTTGCTGCCGGGTGGGAAGCCCAGGTCCCCTAGTGACTCGGTGCCCACGGAACACAGGGAAGCTGCCGTTTCTGCCCTTGAGAGGCTTTGTGACAGGACTTACCTATCACTTCGCTGCCTGGAGTTCTTTCTGGAACAGGGCAAGGTATAAATAAACAAACACGCATCACTTTCTGGAATTTAAAGTGCCTGTCCTTGGGTAGCAACAGCAGCGAGGGCGAGGTGGCTGGCAGCCGTCCCACACCGTCACGCCGCCCTCAAGCTTGTCCTCAGTCCTCAAACCCCGAAGTTGACCGCGGACGGCCTTGCCTCTCTTCCATCAGGAAATCGAGACGTCGGGTGTGAGAGCCGCCAATGCCTGTTCCCCGCCTGTGCACAGCTGTACTTACCTCTGTCTCCTGTTTCACAGGATGAGGTGTCCTCCCGACCCTGCTCACCCTCTGCCTCCGCCTGTGTTCCCCTTTCTTCCCGTGTCCTTCAAGACTGCGTTGTCTTTGTACCCTTTCCCTCCTGGTTTCTGCCGTCTCCTTTTTACAGGCTCCTTTCCCCTTAAACACGTGTACTACGTCACTCACATCCTGAAATATGTGTCCTTTGATTCTCCACCCCCTGAGGATTTTGTCTTCCTCACGTTTCCATTTGGCACTGTTGGTTTTCCCTCTTTATGAAACCCGACTCCTTTGGCTTCCGTGGAGCACTAATTTGTAGGTTCTCTTCCTACCTCTCTTTCTCCTTGGGAGGTTCCTTGGTCTCCTCCCCCCACAGCTGTAGGTGTTTCCTAGGGATCCACTCCCACCTTCAGTTCTTCTCATCCTGCATACCCCCATGGCCTCAAACATACCTGTATGCAGAGGGCTCCCAAGTCTGCCTCCGAGCTTCAGATTCTCTAGGACCAGCTACCTGAGGGACACCTTGTCCCTCAGCTACCTCAGGTGTGCCGTGCTGGGGCTGAACTCGTCAGCTTCCTTAGGCCTGTTTCCCTCCAGTGTGTACGAAGTAATCAGTGGCACCGTTATCTACTCGGTCACCGTAGCTGCAACCTGGGAGTCATCCCCGACTGCCTCTTCTGTTTCGTTCTCCACAGCTAATTAGGGTAACGGTACTTAAAGTAATTGGGAACTTGGCAGGGTATTTCTAAGCTGGTGACACTGCTAATTTAAGCTTGGATTGCGAGTCATGGAGAACCTAGAGGCGGGCATGGAGCTAGGCCTCAGGAGCTAGAAACTTGAGGACGCTTACCTCTGTCATCGTGACTTCCCCTGTGCATCTCTGTCCGTAGTGTATAGACTGCTGTTCTGTGGTCCGTGTGGCAGTTGCAAGGCCCCACTGCTCACGAGTATGTGTGTTGCAGGGCCAGCCGAGTCAAGGAATGGACTCTTCTAACTGTCTTGTTGGCTCAGCTAGACGACTCTAACTGTAGCCAACGTGGGAGTTGGGGCACACAGGATCTTTTCTAGACGTACAGCTACTGGGAACCCACTTCAGTATCTGAGGGTGGAGGAAGGCAGTCTCAGGAAAGGGGGGAAATTATTGTGAGCTGGGGAGAACCTCTCAAAGGTTTTTCCTCAAGAGGAAATGACTCCCTTAGGAACATCAGCCAGTCCATGAGATCTGGAACAATCTAACACTTATTTCCATGCTGTTTATCCCTCTTTGATGTGTCAGTTTTAGAATGGGTGCGTTTGGGAATTCCTTTAAAATAGTGTGTTTTGTGTACTTTATGCATTCCCCACCGTGTGTATTTAATTGTCATGCATTTTTCTGCATCAGTGTTTTGTCCTTAGGTTCTAAACTTCTGTAGGCCTACGCAGCTTATACAGATGTCTCCTCTGTTGCCCGGCTGGTGTGGCTCAGTGGTTGAGCATTGACCCATGCACCAGGAGGTCGCTGGCTCGATTCCTGGCCAGGCACAAGCCCAGGTTGTGGGCCCCGATCTGTGGGCATGCAGGAGGCAGCCATTCGATGTTCGGTCTCATCGATGTTTTTGTCCTTCTCTTCCTCTCCTTTCCTCTCTCTCTAAAATTAATTTTTAAAAATCAATATAGCCCTGGCCAGTTTGGTTCAGCAGTTAGCGTCCGCCCGCAGACTGGAGAGTCTGTGGGTTTGGTTCGCGCTAAGGGCACGTACCTCGGTTGCAGTTTGTCCCCGGCCCCAGTTGGGGTCCTGTGGGTAGCAGCCAGTCGATGTGTGTCTCTCACATCAATGTTTCTCTCTTTCTTCCTCCCTCTCTCCCTCCTGCTCTATCTGAAGATAAAAGAAAAAAAATGTCCTCAGATGAGGATAAAAAAATCAATATAGATGTCTCCTGTGTTTATTAGAGTGGAGGAAAAGAGATTGATTGGCAGGTGTGTCTTTTAGCTCACTTGATTTCTTCCATACCCAGGCTCCAAGCTGAAAGAGATCTTTGACAAGATCCACAGCCTGCTCTCTGGAAAACCTGTTCAATCCGGTGGGCGCTCTGTGTCCATCACACTGAACCCACAGGGCCTGGACTTTGTCCAGTACAAACTGGCAGAGAAATTTGTGGTAAGAGACCTTGTTGCCAGAGGTGCGGGGAGAAGGGGCTGGTGCACAGCGCTTAAGCCATTCTTGAGTATTAACACTGTCCCCTCCCCTGTTCCCAGAAACAAGGAGAGGAGGAAGTGGCCTCTCATCACGAAGCAGCGTTCCCCATCGCGGTTGTGGCGTCTGGGATCTGGGAGCTGCACCCGAGAGTGGGGGACCTCATTCTGGCTCACCTGCACAAAAACTGTCCGTACTCCGTTCCCTTCTATCCAGCTTTCAAGGAGGGAATGGCTTTGGAAGACTACCAGAGGTTCGGTTGTCTTACTAACCCGGGGGTGACTCCTGAAATAGAAACAGAATTTATGTTGTTCCTTCTCACAGCTTTTATGTACCTGGAATGTTCTATCAGAAAATACAGTGTCTTTTATGTAAACTGGACAGCTTTTAGAATTTGTAGATTTAGCTGCCAATAATCAGTATAGTTTAGTGGGAAGAATAATGGGTCTAGAATCCAGGAGTCTTCGAATTTTATCCCTGCTTGTCATTTAATAGCTTTGCAAAATGGGTACGTTTTTTACCTCTTTGGGCATCGTTTTCCTTATTTGTAAATAATATGTGTGACCTGTGAATTTACCTCGCAGAGCTTGTCTGATGCGCAGATTTGAGAATGGATATGGGTGCTTTAGAAAACAAGGATTCTATAAATGTAATTACATATTGTTACTGTCGGTCATAAAAAGTAATGTCTGACGTGTCACCCTCATTTTGGCCTTGTCACACTGCAATTTTTAATCCCATGTAGGATGCTTGGCTATCAAGTGAAGGATTCCAAGGTGGAGCAGCAGGACAACTTTCTAAAACGCATGTCTGGGATGATCCGTCTCTATGCTGCCATCATCCAGCTCCGGTGGCCGTATGGAACCCGGCAAGAGGTAGTAGGAAAGGCTTTCACCGATAGTGAGAGGTCAGCCCTTAGTCGTGTTCTGTCTGCAGAAAATGCTGGCCTTCTTTCAGAGAGGCCTCTGTTGCGTGCCGAGTTCAGATTTACTGCTGTTTCATGTGTGTTCTTTAGAGAAGTTGATGTTGATTATTAGGAAACTTCTGAATCACCAGAACCATTTGCTCAGTACTGACTCGGCTAAGGTATTAACTCGGTTTATAAAAGAATGCACCAGACAGGAGTCTGTTGTAAACCCGTCTTTAAGGTTAGAGGATTTTATTAGAAGAGGAATGAGCAAGAAATTGTCATATTGGACCTGGGGTGCCTTAGGAACCATCTAGGTCACAGACCTTACAAATGGACAGATGGAGGTTTGGCAAGCTTTGGTGATACACATTTGGCAATGACAGAGCCACAACGAGGTTCAGGGTTTGACTTGCCAGCCCATTTCTTCTTTTCATCCTCACCTGAGGACATTTTTCCATTTTTTGTTCAGACAGAGTGGGAGGGACAGAGAGGAAGAGAGAGAGAGAAACATCGATGTGAAATGGACACATCGAGTGGCTGCCACCCGCATGACCAACCAGGGCCGGGGACAAACTGCAACCGAGGTACGCGCCCTTAGCGGGAACCGAACCCGGGTCTCTCTGGACTGCAGGCCGATGCTCTAACCACTGAGCAAGACTGGCCAGGGCCCAGTTCTTTTTTTTTAGAGAGAGAGAGAGGAAGGGAGAACGAGAGAAACGTCAGTCTGTTGCTCCACCCATTTATGCACTCATTGGGTGATTCTTGTGTGTTCCCTGACGAGATCAGACCCGAAACCTTGGTGCGTTGGGATGACGTTCTAACCAACTGAGCTACCCAGCCAGGGCCAACCCAGGTATTTTCTCAAGAGATATAGATTAGCAAAATGGAGAAGTTAATGGACTTGTAGACCTAAAGAGAAAAGAATCTAAGTTGATTGAATCCAAGAAGTTTTTATGGTGCATCTACTATGTCCCAGGTTCTGTGCTAAGTTCCAAGATAACACATGTATTTTTTAGGGTAATTGTTGGTGCATGGATTCCCTGAGACTGAAGCTGACAGATATGTATTGAAGGGATCCTGTAAAGAATGTGTGGGTTCCACCCTGGCCGGTTTGGCTCAGTGTTTAGAGAGTAAGCCCAAAGACCAGAGTGTCTTGTGTTTGGTTCCCAGTCAAGGACATGTACCTGGGTTGCAGGTTCAATCCCTGGCCCGGTTGGGGTCACGTGGGAGGCAATGAATCAATGTGTCTCTCTCACATCAATGTTTCTCTCTCTCTTCCTCCCTTCCTTCCACTCTGTCTAAAAATCAATGGGAATTATCCTCAGGTAAGGATTAACAAAAAAAGAATGTATGGGTTTCGGTGTGTTGGAACATTAAGAAACAGAGTTCATTTGGCTTGTGTTGTTTCTGCCCTGTGGGATGTGCTTCGGTTAGATGAACTAAGGGTTCATGTCAACTTGGCAATGGCTGGATGATAACATTGGGAGTTTAGCTCTCAATAAAATGAGATAAAATCATGACCAAGTTTCTCTCTTCCCAGGCTCACCCTCATGGCTTAAACCATGGCTGGCGCTGGTTGGCACAGATATTAAACATGGAGCCCCTGTCAGATGTGACAGCCACCCTCCTCTTTGACTTCTTAGAGGTACACAATGCAGTTCTCACGCAGGAGAGAACCCGTGGCTGAAACAGCCTCAGGCCGCTGTGAGACACGTGGGGAAGCAGTGTAAACAGGGAGGGTGATGGCGAACAGCATTCGGGGCCAGTGTCAGAGTTTTTCTTGAGTCCTAAGACTAACCTGGCTTTTGACTTTTCTTACTACTATACTTTCCTTTTACTTGTGGATGTCTTCCCATTGTTCAGCACAAGTGAAAAGGGGAATTTGTTTTAGGGGTAGAGAAGTAACTCCCAGGACCAAGAGTAGGATGGACAGTTGAATCTCTTGAGGGCCTGGAACCAGGAACTGGGATTTCCCCAGATACCAAGAGTCTCTCTCTGGGACCACATGGTCTTTCATGTGTGTTCCTCCTGCCAGATGCCTCATTCCTGCTCTGCAGGCCGACTTTCTTCATGCTCTGTGCACGGTGGAGATGTCCATCCGGGGCTGTGTCCCTCAGTCTTGGTGTGGCCACCCAGTCGAGTGGGACTGGTGTTCCATCATGGTGAATAATTTGCAGAACAGAAAATATGATTAGCCCTGGCCTGTTTGGCTCAGCAATTAGAGCGTCGACCCGCGGACCAGAGAGACCTGGGTTCGGTTCCTGCTAAGGGCACGTACCTCGATTGCAGTTTGTCCCCAGCCCTGGTTGGGTCGTGCAGGTGGCAGCCACTCAATGTGTCTCTTTCATGTCGATGTTTTTCTCTCTCTCTTTTCCCACTCTATCTGAACAAAAAATGGAAAAATGTCCTTGGGTAAAGATAAAAAAAGAAAATATGATTAACCAGGTTGAGTCACCTGTCCCCCTCATCCAGAAGGTTCTGTATAGTTCTGTACAGTTATAAAGGGCCAGCACTGTAATGTCAGAGTAAGGGTAAGAGTTTCTGTGGAAAGGAGACACTTCTTAAAGAAAGAAGGCACATACCATAAATCTGGGGCCATTTGGCCTGTAATGTCAATAGTTTCCAGTCACCTCAAAGCTCCTGAAGTCACAGTCCATGAACGGTGATCCTGAATCACTGCGGGCACAGTGGGTTCTGTGTACTCTGCTTACTAAGGTTGGGTGTATGCCAGACCTTCGGAATGGCTTACTTTCAGTAAACTCAAGGAAGTCTTGTTAATTAAGTTTGGTTCATCTTAGTATCTGGCAGGCTTGTTAAATGGAGGTATTGCCATGTACAGAGACATGCTTCAGAAGAAAGTTGGATTCTTGATAGGAATGAAAGGCAAAGGGCTGCTTGTGGTTTCTGGATCTTTGTGTGAGTGTGAATTTCCCTTCTCTGCTCTGATGGTGCCCATCTTCCCTCTAGGTGTGTGGGAATGCCCTCATGAAGCAGTATCAGGCCCAGTTCTGGAAGATGATGCTTCTCATCAAAGACGACTATTTCCCCAGGTATTAGACTTGTGGAGCAGACACCAGGGATTCGGTAGATAAAACTCATGACATCAGATGCCCTTGGGTGCTATTGCATGCTGGCTTTGACTCAGTTAAATGCAGTTGCATTAAGTGTGACATTTTTTTTTTAGTGGGAGGGAAGGATGAGAGAGAGAGAGAGAGAGAGAGAGAGAACCATCGACTTGAGAGAGACACATCAATTGGTTGCCTCCCACAACCAGTGACCCTGTTGGGGGCCAGGAATCGAACCTGCAACCCACGTACATGCCCTTGACTGGAAATTGAACTTGAGAGTCTTCAGTCCATGGGCTGGCGCTCTAACCACTGATCAAACCAGCCAGGGCAGTGACATCTTCTGTTTCCATCCTTTTCCTCTTGGATACCTGAACAAACATTTTGAATTCTAATGAGTCTCTCTCTTATTGGCTAAATTAAAAAAAAAAAAAAGGAAAATATTGGATTCAGATACCTGATATTTTTAAAAACTTTTCTCTTCCACATGCCCCCAGATAATCTGGAATGGTGATTTTGAATGCAGTTTTTAATTAAACCAAGGAGTCATACCCCCTCAATAAATCAGTGGAAGCAACTGACTTACCGCCTTAGAGCGTCGTCTCGCGTACCAGAGAGTCTCGGGTTCGGTTCCCGCTAAGGGCACATACCTCGGTTGCAGTTTTTCCCGGCCCCGGTTGGGGTCGTGTGGGTGGCAACCACTCGATGTGTTTCTCTCTCTCTCACTTCCTCCCTCTCCCTCCCACTCTATCTGAAGATAAATGCAAAACTGTCCTTGGATGGGGATTAAAAAAGAAAGGAACTGATTTATCAACCAGTTTGCTTGACTGTGGTGTGGCAGTCACCTTTGAGTACCCTTCTCATTCCTCATTTCACTGGCATTTCAAGTGGGGGAAAGGCCTTGGCAACCCCCATCCCACCCCATCATAAAGACCTTGGAAAGGAAGGGTGCTCTCTCTCTTTTACCCCTTTGTTAGAGAGGAAGGTTGAGGCTATTTGGAGGAACGACAGCATCCTTAGTCTAGAAGACATCTCTGTAAGTCACTTGATCCCGTCCTTCCCCTAACTCCTTTCCGAAAGATGGGTGTCACTCATCACTTATCTTCTTTCTGTCCCTGTAGGATAGAAGCCATTACAAGCTCGGGACAGATGGGTTCCTTCATACGCCTCAAGCAGTTCTTAGAGGTAAGATGCATTGGACGCACACGTCCCAGACTGTTGCTGCTGAGAGCATACCTGTGCCTGACCGGTCTTGGACCTCCCTGCTCTCTAATGCAGTCTCTTCCTCGTGATTTCCCATCCCTACTTGTTTCTCCATAATTTCCCCTGAACCTTACGGGCTGCCATTTCTCCTTCCTGCATGTCACTGTCCATGCCGCCTGTGGGGAAGCTACCCTAAGAGACGAGCACACCTGTCTAATGAGTCTCGTCTCACCAGTACACTTTTGGCATGTTGGCCAAGGTTCTTTTCTCAGGCTCAGGTCTGGGGAACTGGTGCGTGTACTGCTCCCTTTCTCCACCAGAACAGACTGCACTTTCAGCCAGACTCTTGTCATATTTCTAAGTGCAAACATTTTTAAGCAGTTAATCTTGTCAAATAACGTGGAACTCTGTGGTAGGTCTGCCAACACAGCTCGCTGACTTTGTCTTCAGTGGCCCAGTCGGGAGAGGCCAGGCTGTGGGGGACGAGAGTGGGACAGGCATCACGATGGCGGAGCCCTTGTCCCCTGCTGCAGCTCGTGCAGAAGCCAAAGCCTTAGGCACAACCTTCAGTCCTGACGTTTTCCTTTCTGAGTGCTGTTCTGTGGGATTTAAGCTTGCTGTCCCTCAAAGTGTCTTCTAATTGTTAAATGTTGGAAGCAGTGTTATCAGAAAATCATTCTGTTTTCTTCATCTTTCCCTGACCAGAAATGTTTGCAGCACAAGGAGATTCCTGTCCCCAAGGGCTTTCTGACTTCCTCCTTCTGGCGTTCCTGATGTCACTCCGCCACCCACCGTCACCATTGTTGCAGTGGGGCAGTAATGAAGCAGCTGAATATATATTGGGGAGAGCAATGTCAGATTTAGAAATCTACCAATGTGTATTTTTATATATTTATACCTGTGACTAAGAAAGGAGATTTTCATGGGTCTCAAAATCTAGGCGGTCTGATGACTCTATAAGGGATCCACATGACAGTGTGTGGAGTTGGCCTTTCTCACTTTTGCAGAAACTTTGAGAAGAGGTCTTTACATATGATCCCATTTTTTTATTTTTATTGATTTTTCTAGCGAGAGAGGAAGGGGGAGAGAGAAAGAAACATCAATCGCCTGCCTTCTACATGTCCCCTACTGGGGATCGAGCCTGCAACCCAAGGCATGTGCCCTGACCGGGAATCCAACCGGGACCTCTTAGTCTATGGGACGATGCTCAGTCCACTGAGCCACACAAACTGGGCAATGATCCCATTTTTTATTTCCTTGTCGCTGTTATCTTTCAGAAAGTAGGTGCTACCTAAGCATTTCACTCTGAGCTGAAGTGAGCCTGCCACTGTAAAGTGTCATTTAGCAGTTGAGACCTGAATCCTTACATGCAGGTTTGGTTGTGGTTGCTTTGCCTGGCTCACTTTTAAAGGTAGAAATTCAGAGGCAATGCGTGACGCAGACTAGGACTTAGTCCTAAAGGGGATCGGGGATAGTGTCTGGGATTAGGGCCTCACCATGTGCTGTATTGAACCCAGAAGCAGTTTGACCTCTTAACTGGGATTCAGTGCCTGGTGACCAGGGATGCATGAACCGGCGTGGGTGCCTTTTTGTTGTTTTTCAGTGAGAATTAAGTTGGGCTCAGATGGGGTTGCCACATTATACATGAGAGGAGCATCCTTGAGCTACGAATTAGCGATCCAATGTAGATGTTAAGGAGGAATTGAAAAATGCTTTATATTTATTTCTCTCACTTGTTCTGACTAACGAATGATGATGTATTTGCCTGACTAAACCCGCTACAAAAATCCAAAGCTTGGCTTTTCAGAGAAGAGCTGAGGTTTGTTTATGGAAAGATTCACTGTTTCTGTACTATAGAGAGGCAGCAGCCATAATCTCTTCCTCTTTAAATGTCGTGTGGGGGTGTTTTGAGGGAGAGCAGGGATTCCTTGGTACTGTTGATGTGACCCAGTCTATGAATTATTTACTGTGGTGCCAAAAAAAAAAGTAATAAAGCTTGAATTTTAAAAAATCTATTGCTGGTATCTAGTTGGTTTAACATGTCAACTTTCTGTGCCTTGAGCTGTGCCAATCACTGGGGTATAGTAGTGTCCAAGACTAGGTATAGAGACACATACTTTTTTTTTTCTTTTTTTGTTTTTTTGACCTTCACCTTGGGAAATTGCTTTTTTTTTTTTTAATTATGTAGCAATAACTGATCCTGTTTGTCTAGCAGAAATGGGAAAATATTCAAGACTTGCAGCATGGACACAATGGAATGAACACTGGGAGACTTGGACTCCGTTCACTTCTGGGTTTTGTGGCCTCGGGTAGGTTACTCACCCTCTCCGAACCTCAGGATCCCCCTGAGAACACAAGCACCGGACTCCTCCGCAGATCAGGGGGTTGTACCTTTGCTCCATAGCAGAGTCTGAGCAGCGCTTCCCAGCCTGTGTCGTGGCACCCTGACCTCAGGCCGCCTGCAGTCCCAGGGCGGCTGCCGTTCGCACTTCCTCTCTCCCTGAACTTCACGGGTGACCTCATCTGCCAAGTGTCATGGCAGGGAACAAGTTGGGAAGAACTGACTTCGGGGTGTTGAGTGGGTGGGGCTCAGCCCTGTAGTCGGTCCATCAGCATATGGAAGCTTTTATGCACATTTTCAGAGACACCCCTTTCTTCAAGACACTGTGCCTTGCCTAGCCCACGTGGCTCGGTTGGTTGGGCCTCGTCCCCTGCACCAAAAGATACTACTGCCATCTGCTGGAAAATTGTCCTATTCATAGCAGAATCTGTGATACTAGGAGGTGAATGGTGCCAGCTAGAGTAAGGCTCCCATTTTGCACCGATTAGTGGGCTCTAACGGAGCTCCAGGGTCCTCTGCCACGGTACATGCTTCCTGTGCTGTGTATGTTGGGGTTCTGTGTACGGTTACATATGGAAAAGTTCCTCTGCTGAAAACGAAATGTGAAAAATCACTGGACAAGATGATCCCCAAAGTCTCTGCTACTTTGAATTTGTGCCACTGCATAGAAAACACTTCTCCAAACATGTTCTGTCTCCAGACACGTTTAACAACAGCCTCCACATGTCGTTAATGCTCGGTATTCCTAATGGGCTCTTGATGCAAACCAAGAAGACGGCGTTGGGGAGGCCAGGTTTTTGATACTCACTGACGGTGTCACCTTCAGAGATAGTGATTGCTCCCCGATAGATGCAACTCCTGATGGGTAGTAGCATCAGATTCCTTAGAGCAGAATACTAAGGACTGCATTCGGTTTTTAAATTCAAGTACTCACTTGCCTGTTTCCTTCCAGGCTTGACCTCATTTCTCAGGCAGAGTGCCCGTATGTTTGTCATACCATTTCTTTCCTACATCATATTAAAGCACATTTCATGATGAGTTGAAAATTCCAACAGAAAAACCCTGTACATCCCTTGAATAGAAGAATGGAGTTCTGGGGGTGTCCCTCCAGGCACTGAGAGCTTTCCCCTACTCCCCAAGCTTCCTGTGATGGTAGCAGTGACACAGTGAAGTTTGGGTGTCTTCTGTCTCAGTGCAGGGACACCCAAAAGAGCCACAGAGCTTTACACGGGTGCCTTATCAGGCCTGAAAATTCATGCCCTTTCTTCCACCTAATGAATTCCTGATGCTGTTTTCCTGTGGACTCAGGAAGATGGGAGCTGTGTGATGGTTCACTAAAACACTCATGTTAGAGGAATTTATCCTCCAGTTTACAGGCTTCCGTTTTAGAAAATATTACTTAAACAAATAAAATAAAACTATTACTTTAGCCCATGCACCAAGAGGTCACCAGTTCGATTCCCAGTCAGGGCACATGCCCAGGTTGTGGGCCTGATCCCCAGTGGGGGGCATGTAGGAGGCGGCCAATCAATGTTCTCTCTCATTGATGTTCTCTCTCTCCCTCTCCCTTCTCTCTCTAAAACTCAATAAAGAAAATTAAAAAAAAAAACATTGATGAGAGAACATTGATCGGCTGCCTCCTGCATGCCACTCGCTGGAGATTGGGCCCACAACCTGGGCATGTGCCCTGACTAAGAATCAAACCAGCGACCTCTGGGTGCATGGGCCGATGCTCAACCACTGAGCTGCACCAGCTAGGCTGATCTCAGATCTTGAATTCCCTTTATAATTTTGGCATAGCTGTTAAGAACTTTGGAGAGGTATCTGTTTCACTAAAGACAATCTTTTCCATGCTAATTAGCTACTCATTAGAATGGTGGGAAGCCAGAGACTGCCTAGGAGCCCCCAACTTAGAACTTTAGTAATGTGGGCACCCAGATTCCCATTGGAAAGTGAGAGTCAGAGGATCGCAGGTGGGTGGGGAAGGACATGATGCTTTTTCCATCTCTGATGGGCAGAGAAAATGTACAAGCACAAAGGTGGAGCTAGAGAAAGAGTAGTTGAGTGTGTGTGTGTGTGTGTGTGTGTGTGCATGCCACCTTTTGTGTGACTACTACCTGCTATATGCTGACAGCTATAGTCTTCACCCAGCCTCCCTGCATCGGGCACAAGCAACACACATGGGCATCAGGAAGCCACAAGAAGCGGTGATAGTGGGAATAGCACAGGCATAGGAGCAAAAAGAAGCTTAGATACCCAGAAGGTTCCAGCAGGAAGGGGTGGACAGATGACCTGTTTCCATCCCTTCTTTAAACCACTGGGAGCCTGGGATTCAGGCAGGAATGAACCTGAGACACACAGCCAGAGATGGGATTTAAATTCAGGGCCTGCAACTCCCAGGTCACATGCTATCTGAGGATCAGAACTTACAAGGCCCACAGTCCAGTAACCAATAACTGTAGGGGTCAGTGGGTGCCACTGTTGTACAGAAGGAAGCCTGGGCCTCAGGGAAGAGGTTGTCCCCCCCTGTACTCCTGGCAGAGTGGCCCCAGGAGGACCATATTTCTGCCTCTGGAGTTCCGACAGCCATGCCTGCACTCGGCACGCCTCCTAGGAGCCCTGCAGGGCAGAATGGCAGGCTCCAGAGGGGCAGCTTCACCTGCAGAGAGCCTCTGTCTTCCCTTTGCTTGTGGCCATTAGGTGATGTCCATCTGCCATCCTCGTTAGCGGTCCTTCCCCAGGTGTTCTTCAGTTTCTGTTGTGTGACTAGTTTGTGTTTTATTCTGTATTTGTCTCCCATGTCTTCCTCTTCCTCTGAAGAAGCCCATCCTTTGCCATCTGGGATTGAAAACCCAGACTATTTTTGCAGAACTTCCTGGCAGGCGCCCACAAGCAGTACCTCTCCCTCCAGCAGGACCAAGGGAGCCCGCCTCAGTGAGTGACAGTGACTTGCACCGCCACCTCTCCCTTGAGAGTCAGGAGTCCTTTCAACCTCTGGCTCTGAGGCCAGGTGTGCCCACGTCAGGGTCCTTTCCTGTAAGGCAGTCTTTGGCACGTCGGGGCTTCCCCATGGCCCAGGTCAGTTTTGTTTAATGGACTCTGGAGTCTTTTGAAGGGATCTGATTCTTTTGAATTTTGCACAGCCCTAGATAGAATCCCTTTTGATAAAAGGGTCTTGGCCTGGCCTGGCTGGTTTGGCTCAGTGGATGGAGCATCAACCCATGGACTGAGAGGTCCCCACTCGATTCCTGGTCAGGGCACATGCCTGGGTTGCGGCTCGATCCCCAGTAGGGGGCATGCAGGAGACAGCCGAACAATATTTTTCTCTCACATTGATGTTTCTCTCTCTCTCTCCCTCTTTCTCCCCCTCTAAAAAATGAATAAAAACATATTAAGCCCGGCTGGTGTAGCTCAGTGGTTGAGCTTCGACCCATGCACCAAGAGGTCGCTTGTTCGGTTCCTGGTCAGGGCATGTGCCCAGGTTGTGGGCCAAATCCCCAGAAGGGGCACGCAGGAGGCGGCCAGTCAATGTTCTCTCTCATTGATGTTTCTATCTCTCTTCTTCTCCCTTCTGCTCTCTCTAAAATCAATAAACAAAATAGTTAAAAAAAACACAACAACATATTAAAAAAAATTAAAATTAAATGAAAGTAAAAGGATCTTTCCTCCTGTAGAGTTATAGAAACACTCTACAATGTCTGTGGATATGTTTTTCTAATTCCATGCAAAGTTGGTGTACACTCAGTGAAACCA